ACGGAATGCTTCTCTTCTCTCCCTGGTGATCAGGATCTGCCACAAAGTTGCAGTACCCGGGATGCTCATCACAAATCTTAAGTTCGCTCTTGTCCTCATCAGGCTCCATAAAGAAGCCCTTTGCAACATTAAACAACACGGGGAGGTTTCGATATTTCTCGGCTTCTTCGGATGTCATGCGTATATGGCTCAAAGTCCAGGCAGTCGGACGCAACTGCTTTTTGAAATCTAGCAGGCGGTCACTGCCAGCACCTGCTGCAAGAATGGTCCGATCTGCGTAATGACTCAAGCCATCCGCAGTTCGAGCCCCGGCCACGTCTCCATCCTTGTAGATCAGGCTTTCAACTTTTCCCTGCGGTGCACCAGTCACGAAGTTCACACCGAGGCGCTGCGCTTCGGTGTACGCTGATACCATCGCTTTGCGGGCATGGATCCATCCGGCTCCGACTCGGCTTATCCAACCCTTCCAGCCAGGGAAATCGCCAGTCAAGACGCCAGCTGGCATCGCTCGACGGAAATCTTCGGCTGATTCCAGAGCCACCCAATCACCTTCAGACTGGTCAATCTCTTCCGTTTTGATTTTCTCTATGAGGGCGGGTGTGTTCGCAGAAACAATGAAGCCAGTTTCGTGGAAGTACGGTTGGAAGACTGGATCGCTCTTCCAGCCTTTCAACGCCGCCCTGGTGCAAGTTGCAAAAGCGATGCTTCGAGAATCGGGATTCAGTGCTGGTAAATATTAGCCGATGTCCATATCTTTGCATCAGGATTCATGGGTTGGTTACATTTCAATTCCTTGTGCTCCATGATTTTGTTGATGTCGTTCCCCGCAGCAATGGGCGACGGGACTGGGTGAGGGTCCAGCACCTTCACATTTTTGTATCCACGACGGGCCAGATGGAGAGCAGTTGAGCACCCCCAAGTGCCTGCGCCTACTATTATAATTGAGGAGGTGTGGTTTAATTCGAGTGTTGCCATCTTGATGTTCTGGTCTGTGGTAAAAGACGAAGGGAACAATTGGGAATTGCCGAGGGCGACTTAGGATTGTAACGTCATATGATAGACACCAAATGTCACCATTTAATGTGACCATTGGAGAATTAAAACGCGCAGGCCAATGTTTATGCGGTCATATCAGCCTAGCGTGAGTGTTGGAGGGGAAGTGTCTCGCGTGGACCTTCCCTCCACTCCAACCTGGGGTAAAGCTTCTCCGCACGATCTTTTCATCCGCAATACCTCGGGCTTAATATCTTCAACTCCGGGAGATATTATTACTCTCTTTCTATGTTCGGTATCAGTGCTATCTCTTATGCCAATGACTATTCTCTTCTCTATGATCGCCATAAATACTATCGCTTGGAGCTTCCGTTGTTTTGCCCCCTCACCAAGTGGCTTACCTCAATAACTGAATCTATAGTAAACAAGATCGGGCAGTCCCGACACGCGATAATCATAGTATTGCTAAAGGTCGTTTGCTGTAGAGTAAAGTAGTATATAGGTGTTGCTGTCCCAACTCTCCTTCACGACTTGCATTGTCGTGCGTGAAAACATGGCTCACTCAGACGATATACAAACCGATGTTCCTGGAACCGTTTACTTGGTCGACAGTATGTGCCAATCACTATCTAGTACTTAAATCAGCATCATGCATTAACCATGAAACCTCAGTATCCCGCAATCTACAAGATAGTAGCCACGCCGGTCAACAGGATGTCCTCCTCATCCCTCAGCCATCCAAGTTCCCCGCAGATCCCCTAGTAAGTAGTACGGCACCCATGATGGAAGATTGATATTCTAAAGATCACAGAACTGGAGAAAACTGAAGAAATGGTGGTCCCTATTCCTCATCTCCTTCTACGCCTGTGTATTCTCCTTCGGCGAGAACAACTCAGGAGCAAGCTGGACAATGATCTCAGCCGACACTGGCGTCAGTCTAACCAATATGAACGGCGCATCCGCCCTGAACTACCTCCTTCTTGGCTTCTTTAACATTATCTGGATCCCTTCGGCGATGAAGTTTGGCCGGAAGATTATATACATCCTGAGCTTGGTAATCCTCTGCGGTGGGAGTGTTTGGGGCGGTTTCTACACTGGCACTGCTCAGTACTATATCATGCTTGTCATACAGGGCATCGGTACCGCGGCATACCAGGCACTCATCCAGCTTACCGTGAGTATATATCCATTGTGTTTGGGTGCAGGATTACTGAGATCTATTAGATATTCGACATGTTCTTCGCGCACGAGCGCGGTCGCATGGTCTCAATTTATATCTTCTTCCAGCAACTCGGATCCATCCTCGGGCTAATACTGGGTGGTTATATCTCCGACGGAATCGGTTGGCGCTGGAGCTCACCTATTGTGGCTATCGCATGCGTAAGAAGCTCTTGTAAAGGGTGACACATTCAGCGAATTAACTATCACAGGGAGTCTTGATCTTACTCTTCATCTTCACGTTCGACGACACCATGTTCCCACGCTATCGCTTCAACAACCCCTTACATATCGGGCTTTCTGTGCCGGGTGCACCTACTGACGACCAAGGCAAGCCTGAAAAGCCTGAAAAGCACCCAAGGGCCGAGACGCCCGTATCGACTACTGAGAGTTGCAGTTCCGGCGAAGAGATTCTTACGCGAACCTTCAGGCAAAAGATCGCATTGGTCCATTACTTCTCAGATGACCAGACGACCTGGCTTCAATATTTCCGGCGCCCGTTCTACCTCTTTACATTCCCTAATATTGTGCTGGCTGGTATCCAGTTCGCATTCGGCTGCACTGCAGGTATCGTGTCGTTCAATACGATCTCAGAGATCATGACTGTAGCTCCCTATAACTGGAGTGCCGGGTCTACGGGGTTGATATTCCTAGCTGCTCTCGTTGGAAACTTCCTTGGGTAAGATTGCATCCTGGATTTTAGGAGCGTCGGCTGATTTATTTACTGCGCCAGGATGAGTGTTGGCTTTCTTGCCGACCGGATTGTATTGATCTTGTCCCGCCGAAATAAGGGTTATAAAGAGCCGGAGATGCGTATCTGGGCTTATATTTTCCCTTTCATCTTCGGTGCTGTGGGTTACTTTACCTATGGATGGGCTGCCACGTCTGGTGAGCATTGGATGGCGATCGCTGTGGCTTTATGCTGCTTGATTGCTCAGCAGGTGTCTATGACGAGTCTGGCAACGACCTATGCAATGGAGTGCTTCGACGGGGTGGGTGTTGACCGGCTATCGCGTCCCCATCTTCTCGCTTTTCTACTGATTGTGGGTTTTGCTAACAAGGCTCTTCAACCTACAGATCTCCGGTGAACTGGTTGTAGTACTCGCCATCTGCTCATCCTTGATCAACTTCGCTATCTCCTTCTCTGTTCAGCCTTTTATCGAGACGACTAACTATGGTTGGGCATTCACCTGCTTTGGTATCCTGGTTGTGCTGTCTACGTTAATTGGCGTTCCCATGATGATTTGGGGCAAGTCATGGCGTCGGAAGTGCAAGGGACGGTATGAGAAGTTTTTGGCGGAAACTGGGCGTGATATCCATCCAGGCCTTTGAGTCGATATTCGTGATAATGTGGGTATCTTCGACAACTCGGCATTCTTCATATTTGTTACTTGACCGGACCTTAGTGTCTGAGAAGGACGTGATATGGTCTGTAAGAGAACATCCTATCAATCCATGGATGGATCTCCCAAGGTCTTATTGAAACGATTCCCAAAAAGATAACTTTGGAAAGGATCGGAGCCCGTAATTTGACTCGATCTTCCTGGAACCATTGGATATCCGGACTGGTTTGCCGACGGCTATTTCGGAGCTTCAATAACAATCTCCTTGGACTTTGTCTTTCGATGGCACTCCTGGATTGACGGATCTACCACCTGGCGTTATGGAGGCCGTGTATTCAATGTATTTAGCAGACCTATTCTATCGCTTCGTGGAATTTTGAGGTATATATGTTTCCCTGCAAAGTCGATAGTTCATGATCGGACGAGAAAAAAGGATGTGTGCTGTCACAATCGATGGATCCCACCAACGCCCTTCGACTGTGAACCCTGCGCACCTTCGACCGGAGTTATGGCTTGTTGGATCCATATTATCCCCAAATGCTTGGTTGAGTTTACCATTTGGTTTCATGGGGAGTTGTAGGATTAGCATATGGCCTGGATAATATGCAACTTGAAAACATTGTTGATATTGGTGAAGTGGTTCCTACACCAGTTCGAGGGACATCAAGGTCTGATGCCGATGGATATTTGAAAAGGCTTCACTTTTCCGTTCTATTACTATCAAAGTCACTATTACACCAGTAGGTGCTTTCTTTAATCACTGTATCTATACTCAGCCGAAAAACAATTACATGGTTAAAAAAAGGTATTGTCTAGCTTTTCCTGAGGATATAGCTTATCCCCACTCCACTACACGTAAAGATTCTCCATGTTCCCCCTTCCACACCACGTTTATATATTGTTCCTGCCATATTACTTGAACACACAATCACAAGATAAACTCGGCAGAGTTTACGCTAAAATTCCTCGCATCATGCACGGAATGCTCGTTGCGCCTGCATCACTACAGCGAACAAGGGGCGAGGAGGCTGGAATGCCAACGGTGGTAAGGACCCGGCGCCCTTTAACCCATCATTCCTAGGGGTTTGGCTCTAATATTTCCCCGCGATAGAAGGTTGAATGAGTTTAGATCAAATTTCGGACCAAGGGTAATGCAGTTACTATGTATCCCTTCTTTTGTGGAATCTGCCTAAACGTCTCCTTTACAGGTTTTTCGACGAGGAAGGGGGCGAAAGGGGAGCTCCTATTACACATCTCTCCATCCCACGTTAGTGTGGGTAACATTTAGCGCTAGCTATGAGATTTCCTCCGTGAATTGCTGTTCAATTTCGCTTGATGCCGCAGTCAACCTCCGATACCGCAGTATTCCGATTCCCGCGGCGAACGACAGTTTAGCGACAAGTATATAAGACTCCGAGAGGGCTTCAACTGCCCGGATCAACTCAAATGGGACGCCAATCATTAGCCGAAGACATTTACGATAATGAGTCTAAAATCAACTTTGGCGTACCGGATAGCGTCCGAAGCGAGGATGATATGACACGCAACCTAGCACTGGGGAGCACAATCCAACTATTTGAGAGCGAACCCTCAGCGGAAGAACAACAACGACGATTCGAAGTGCGAGAATGGCTGGTTTTTATCTGTATCGTTATCCTGGCAATGATGGATTCATTCAATACGACCGTCTTGATCCCAGCATTACCTGTATGCCACAGACAGTACCCCCGAGTGTCATTTTATATCTATAACAGAGCTGACCAGACCTTCAACCCAGAACCTGGCAAACACATTCGGAAAGCCACTAGCAAGCACATTCTGGGTCAACACGATATACCTCATTTTCAGTGCAAGCAGCCAACTCTACTTCACAATGGTATGCGAAGTCTTCAACCACGGACCAGTATGGATCATTGCCGTGGTTCTCGCAACAATCGGCACAGGGATCTGCTGCGGCTCCATGAGTCTCGCGGAACTAATTATCGGCCGTATGATTCAGGGTATTGGCGGCGGCGGCGCAATGAGTCTATGCTCCTTGGTAATGACGGAGACGGCGCCTGAATCCATGCACTCACGGTATTCGTGCTATATCCTGCTGACGCGCATGTGCGGCGGCATTCTGGGCCCCGTTATCGGAGGTCTGTTCGTTGATAACGCCGACTGGAGGTGGGCGTTCTATTTCAATTTTATCTTCTGCTCGCTTGGTTTGCTGGCTATTCCGTTTGCTGTGGATCTTCGTGCATTGAAATACATCCCGCTGCGCAAATTGCGCGTTTCGGATTGGACGGGTACTACTTTGGCCATTTTGGGTCTTGGGACTATCCTGGTCGGTCTTTCTTGCGGTGGGAGCTTGTATCGCTGGAGGGACTGGCAGACGTTTGTGCCACTTGTGGTTGGGGGTGTGATTCTTCTTGTGTTTCTCTTTTATGAGTCCAAGTGGGCTCTACATCCGCAGTTTGGGAGGAGGGTATTCCGGTCGAGGATGATGGCTATGACACATATAGGGTGCTTTTTGCATGGCTTTGTGGTTAGTGGACATTTTCTTTGCATTTAGTTTGTGTTGTCTGACATACCAGTCTAGGTCTTTGCTCATTTGCAATTCTTCCCATTGTATTTTATTTCCACTCATTACATGTCCGCCACTCTGTCAGGCGTGAGCTTGTTGGCCATGGTTGGGCTCGCGATTGCGCCGGCTACGGTGGTTGGTGTCATTCTCGCCAGAGAGTTAAGATGTACCCAGTGGATCATCTCTGGTGGTTGGGGCTTGACTGCCCTTGCGAGTGGATGCTCTATCCTCTTGGATAACACCACGCCGACCGTAGCATGGGTATTTTTGCTCTTCACAGCAGGCCTTGGGCATGGTCTCTTGCTTTCGAGTTACAATGTGCGCATCCAGAATCTGCCCAAAGATGAGGGTTGCTCCCTGTCGACTCTGCCAACAACCGTGTCAGACTACATGCGAGCTTGGGGTATGGCAGTCGCGGTCCCTGTCGGGGGAGTTATGTTTTTGAACTGCTTTGGCAATGGACTTGCAAGTGTTGAGCTGAATCGAGACATAATAAACACCGCCAACGGATATATCATTCTAATGAAGGATGTGAGCATGACCAGTGAACAGAGAGAGGCGGTTAAAATTGTTTCGGTTGCTGCGTTTCAAGCGGTATGGGATTTCATCACCGGCGTGGCTATCCTCGGGGGAATTTCGTCTGGATTCCTGTGGCGAAAAGTGGGAATGTGAATAGTAAAATTTCAAAATTGAAAGACATTGGGGATTACCATATTTGTCCTAACACGGACGTCTCAAAGTAGCACGGTCAGCTAATCTGATAGAGCATAAGGACAACCCAAAGGCAGGAAGCCAACGCATTTATTGAAGTTTAGTAAGAATAAATCGAATCAGGCTAAAGGCTAATTTGACATAAAAATGAAAGACGTCGGGTCGGCTAAGGTAAAGGTCGTGGCAATCAAATCGACATGGGCTGCCCCATGATGTTCGCGAGTCTTTCTATTCACTTTCGCTTGATCGGCTCTTATCCTTCAGCCTCTCCGGAAGAACGAACTCTCGCTTCCCCTTGATTTTCCAGCCAGACAGCCTGTCTTTGCCAAGCATCTCTAGCGTCTTCTTCTCAACGAGACTGTATTTTGAGGGATCATCTCGGTCAAACTTGAACGGCAGTTTCAAGGACACTGGCGGGTTGGTAATAACGCGCGGATGTCTCAAGCTGTTGACAGAAATCGAGTGACACATCAAAGGATGGAGAAGAATCACATCGCCCACCTTCCCAGTCATCTGGTGGAATTCACTACAATTCTTAACAATATCCGAGTAAAATGGTGTGTCCGCAGCGTTTTCAGCAGGTTCCTGGCCGCGGGGATACATATACGGTGTCACACCCTCAGGATGATTGTACTATAAACACGAGTCAGAAAGACGTAAACGTGGAACAGGAAGCTTCGCCACGTACCAGGTGCTGGGCAACCGATTTCATCGCCTGAGGGCAGATCATAGTGCCACCTGCACGATCTTGGATATCGGTAAATAGTGGTATAACGAGCAAAGCTTGTTCAGGCGAATCAAGAAAATGGATAAAGAAGTCGCCATCCACGTGCCACCCCGGCAGATCAGCAGGATGGGGCCATGTACCCTCGGACTCGGGCGAGCCGAGATTGACAATCAAAGCATCGTTCCAAGTGGCCGATTCCGGGGCTATACGGTCTTCGCCCCCGAGAAGCTCGCAGATGGCCGCCCATGCCTTGGGGGCGAAGGTCCTGACTGGCTCTTCCTTGGTGTCTCCCATGTGGGTAATTTCTGTTGTCCAAGTTGACTTGTCCGTTGGTGACACGCCGAGTCTAGTCCACACATCGCCTGCCCATTCGGTTGCTTTCTCCCGCGAGAAACAGTCTGGTAGACGCACGTACCCATATCTCATGAAGTGACCGATTTGCTCTTGTGAGAGCTTGTAATTGGAGTGGGCTGCCATTGTGTCTGGGTCCTCCGAAGTGGAGCTACAGCATGAGCCCATATTTTTAAGAATGAGAGATATGGACTAGTTGAATAGTGGCAGTTACTTACTTGGGGAAGGTGGCTTGCTGTTATGTGACTGCCTCATTCGCTAGTAATTCGGATCGCACCAATCAGAGGCTATCGCTTCTGTTTTGGATTTGAGGCGGTCACCAGCGACTGAAAGAAGGAAGCGGTGAATTCGCATACGAACGTTCTCCTATTATTTGTATTCCTCTTCTTCAAAATATGGCGTTTGCTTGGAGCTGAACAAGATTTCTTGTGCCATTAACCGAGTAATAAATGGCGTTGCCAAGATACGAATTCCGGCTAAACTGTCAAGCCCGGCCTACTGCTTGCCCCCCCGCAAATGAAGAATGCTCCCCAGCTTCCCCCGAGTTGCTTGGCATCACCACTCATACCACTCCATTTCATTTGCCTTCAGGTGGCGTCCAGGCTAATATGGGTACTCAATTTGGCACGGTCGCTCGGAGCCTGAACGTTTTTGGCACACACAGAAACACCCCAACACGAATCACCCAGAACCTTGGATAGGAACAGACCCAGTGCTAACACAGCTGACCCAGCTCGTGACTCAAACGAACACGGAGGAATCTCAACTATATGCACTTTACCTTCTCCATGTTTATCAATTTGTGGGCCTCGGCCCGTCCAACCCGCACCATTGTGGGGAAGAACGAGATTCGTCTCGTATCCAAAGAAAGAATTCCAAAGTGCATGATGTGCCGAAGTAAGCGAGGACAATTGTGACCACCCGACTCGGCTTTTATAGCCCATCGGCTGCACCAATCACTACGTTCTATTCCCCTGAGATTAGCCTGTGATGTCTCGTGGCCGTAAAACCCGGAGGTGAAACGTCTCTGCTCTACTAGATCCCCTATAGGGCAAGGTCGGTCTGACGTACCACCAATCTGGCTAGTCTGTGCATGAATAGGCATTTCTAGTCCCGGCCCTGCACAAAATCCGTCCTAGCGTCTTGGGAAACACTCAGATTTCTTTAATTATGATTTTCCAAACCTGTGCTTCGATCCCAAAGCTGGGGAGAGCTGTCGACCCAAGCGACTCAGCCAAGACATCAATTTCCCATTCACCGGTTAATATCACAGCTTATTATCCCAAGATGGCAAATTTAAATTGCTTAAAACCTCCAGCAGAGCCCCCCTATCTCCACATTCCTCTGCTTTGTTGTGTCACGAACCCGGTGGACATCTCACCTTTCAACCTAGATACTTCATACACTGCGTTCGCCTAAGCAGACTATACAGAAAACATGGGTATCGCTGTCGGAGCATCGACTCTACAGTCCGATTTGGACGCGACTCAGGCTTCACAGCCTGAGTTGGAGAAGGTTAACTGGTGGCAAGAGCCTGGTCTGCGCAAGCTCTATTTCTGGGCTGCTGTGCTTTGTGTCGCTTCTGCTACTACTGGATACGATGGGTAAGCATCATAGCTCTGTGATTATTGAATATGTATAGAGCTAACGGGCCTTGTGCAGAATGATGCTTAACACCTCCCAGAATTTGGATGCGTGGCAAGTGTACTTCGACAAACCCAGTGGCTCCAAGCTGGGATTGATGAATGCAGTTTACCAGATTGGTAGTCTTGCCAGCTTCCCTTTCGTGTAAGTCATCCCGCACTAAATACAACAGAAACTCGCTGACGTCAATTAGGCCTTTCATCGCTGATCGATGGGGTCGCAAGGTTCCCATCGCGATCGGATGTGTCTTGATGATTTTCGGTGGCTTGCTAGGTGCATTCTGCACAAACTATGGAAGTAAGCGTGACCATTTGTATCCTCCCGAGGTAAGGTCATCACATTTACTAATCCTATTTAGTGTATGTCGCCGGTCGACTGCTCCTGGGCTTCGGCAACAGTCTGGCCCAGATGGCATCCCCAGTCCTACTTGCCGAAATCTGCCACCCCCAGCACCGTGGAAAGGTTACTACTATTTACAACTGCTTGTGGAACTTGGGCGCACTACGTATGTATCCTTCAGACCAGTCTCCGGACGCTGGTGTACTGACTGAGTCTAGTTGTCGCATGGCTTGCATGGGGAACGATGTATATCCCCAACGATTGGTCATGGCGCAGTTTGACTATCCTCCAAATCCTCCCCGCTGTCATTCAGATCATCTTCATCTGGTGTAAGTTCCATTTTCCTTGTACTGGATTGGGTCCAGATGGCTGACCATTATTAGGGGTCCCGGAATCTCCCCGTTGGCTCGTCTCTAAGGAGCGGTACGAGGAAGCATTGGACACACTCGCCTACTACCACGGAAATGGAGATCAGAACAACACTACCGTTCAATTTGAATACCGTGAGATCAAGGAGACCATCAGCTTGGAGATGCGGTACCAGAAGAACAGCAGCTACTTGGACTTCATGAAGACCAAGGGTAACCGTTACCGCTTGGCACTTCTGATTTCTCTGGGTGTCATTTCCCAATACAGTGGCAATGCCTTGTTCAGCAACTACACCAATTTGATCTACAACAGCATGGGTATCACCGAACAAACTAAGAAGATTCCTGTTCGTGCCCCCTTGCCCTCTGCAAAATGAACCCTCACTGACATTTGACAGCTCAATGGTGGACAAACACTACTCAGTCTGGTTGTCAGTGTTTCAAGTGCATTCTTCGTTGACCGGGTCGGACGACGACCTCTGTTCCTGTTTTCTACAGTTGGTATGTGCCGGCATTCCCCGTGATGAACGAGTTACTAACTTTCTGCTCTCAGGCATGGTTCTCATGTTCCTCGCATGGACTGTCGTTTCCTCCGTCTTCGAAAGGACCGGCGATGTCAAGACTACCGGCTACCCACAAGTCGTCTTCGTCTGGCTCTTCTCTATGTTTTACGCCATTGCCTGGTCGGGTCTGCTCGTCGCATACTCGCTCGAGATCTTGCCCTATCGTCTACGCGCCAAGGGTGTTATGATTATGAACCTGACGGTGCAGGCATCTCTGGTTCTCGGAAAGTAAGTTGCCTTGAATATAGGTATCCGCTCTTTGGACGAAACTGACCATCCTAGTTACACCAACCCAATTGCATGGGAGGACCTTCCTCACCACTGGAACTTGTCGCTGATCTACACGATTTGGATCTTCGTCGAGCTCTGCTTCGTCTATTTCTTCTACGTTGAGACCAAGGGTCCCACTCTCGAGGAGCTGGCTAAGATCTTCGATGGTGATGATGCCCAGGTAGCGCATGTTGATCTCCAACAGGTCGAGAAGGAGATTGAAATTACCGAGAAGGAGTCGCCTGAGTATAGGGAACGTGCTTGATTGTGTGTCGCTGTGAAAAGATATCCATAAGGCATATTGGTGCCGATTGTCATCAGACGATGCTATAATTTCTTGTTCCTGATGAATTTAATTGAGAATGGCTTACTTGATAGTTTATTAATTTCTACAGGCAGACGAGAAGGTTGTACATGGTACAGTTTTATTGGTTGCGTATAGCTATTCACTGGGCTGCTAGCAGCCTCTATGTTATAATCTGATCTATATTGACATAGGATTAAAGGCTATACTTAGAAGATTCCATTTCACAAATTAAGCCTTTTCTGACCCTTTTCTGCTGTGTACCCAACAAACCGAGAAGGGGGAAGAAAATATCTATATAACTAGACATCTAAGCAAACTGTCGGAGACTCCCAAAAAAGACCACTAAAAAGAGATATAAAAAGACTACCTGAGAAGACCACCAAGAAGACGACGCATAAGCAGCCATAATGAAAACCCATTTCGAAATTCTTTGCTGGGCATCTGTTTGTGTGACAGCTACATAGTGTCATGGTCTAGTCCTTCTTCTAGTGCTCCTCCAGCTCCAGCGCCTCCTCCTCCTCCTCCTCCTCCTCCAACCATTCCTTCCTTGCCCGGAGTCGCCGTAAACCCGGGCTGCTAGCCATCTTCAATCTCTCCTGGTCCACGCACTCTACTTTGACCCTTTATGAACCTGTTCTTATTCCTTTTTCAAGACTGTGTGCTTGTTCTCGAGTTTCTGCACTCGTGCAAGCGTGCCTTTACTTTTGTTCAAATGCAATGCTCAGGCTTGAACCTTACTTTCTCGATGATCTACAAAAGAGAGAAAACGACGATGATACCATTTCCTCGCTTCTAATGTCCCTAATAATGACAAACTTCCAGGCAGTACCTGGTATGTAATCTCTTCTCATCGGGTCCCTAGCCAGGTGGTCGCCCCAATCAACTGCTTTCCGGTGCGAGTTTGTCCATCTTCTTCATTCGTTTTCCGCAGGAATTATCTGCCAAGCGACCGGAATCTTTGACAAGATGATCAAAGGCTTTAGGGCGAGGTTCGACGTTCGACCTTTTGTGCGGACGTCTCTTTGTCCTCTAAGTCATCGATGATCTTCTCAATTTGATCCTAATGCTGCTAGGAGAGGCTCGAGTAGTGTATATAGATAGAGGTTCCCATATGCAGGCTTTAGAATCCAGAAGCCTGTTATAACAGTCTGAGGGCAATCTCGAAATTATTGGATGATCTGGGTCGTGAAGGTCATCTGCAGTCCACTTCACAGCCGGAATATCGAACAGGGCCAATTGATATCGTGTCTTATCCTTCGGCTGCTTGACCTGCGTAAAATATCTCCAGCGCATCTGTTCTTTGCCACCTTGTGCATTAAATCAACCAAAAAGGCATTGCTCTTGTGACTCGACGACCGGTGTTCCTCCAAACTCCTCAGTAGCCATAAGGGGCCGTAGCGCTGCGGGTCAGGGCCTGGGCATTATAGGCCGCCTCAACTTGGCTGTTGAAGTTAAGTCAGGGGCTTAGGGTGCCGAAATAGTAAGAGGATGTAGCGCTGATGAAGGGGTTGTAGACGGTCATCTAATGCTCCCAGCTCCCAGGAGCCGGCGGTTGTCGCACATTCGCAGCGTCAGCCTGCTGAACGAAGGCTAGCTTGGCAAAATATTCCACGTCCTCCTTTACATGGTTCAAATATAGACCATATTCCGTTACTTCGCTCTTGGGTGGGCCGATTCGAGCCTCCAAGGAGAAGGTTGACTTCCCAGGTTAGGTGATGCATGGTGTTGTGAAGGGTAAGAAGAGGATAGAGAGACTCTCCCACGTTATGCTTGACCTGGCCCTAACACCAGATATCGCCTGCAATGTGTCCTGGGGACACACGGTCAGGTTCGTATTTGAGCAAGGTGGCATTCAAACTGTGCATCACAGGGAGGCCCGGTAGAGCCGTGACGAGACCACAGCGTAGAAATGGCGCGGCATGGTCTGGATATCGCGAAGGAGCCATCCCGCGTGATTCACACCACCGGTGAAGACATATATGTCCTTCCACGCCAACAGGAATTCGACGTTGCTCGTCGTCACCACCACCGTTGGTGGCTGTGGGACCCGATTTTTGCATACTTCCCCACGTCTGTCGAAGTCGTATGTTAGGTGGTCAGAGCGGTACTTCGCTAGCATTCTGTTCGGTACTCTTAGATCAGCGGATTGAATGAAGCTTGTGCGTACTCGCAGCCTGTAAACATTTAGTGAGACTTAGTTCGGCAGGTATGGCAAGTCTCCAGCGTTTGGTAGAGCACATTCTGTGCTATACTCTTGAATCGGGAGATTCAACCCCTCCAAGATAAGATGCACTTCCCAATCTGCGTACCTCTCGCCAGAGTGATTCCATGGCCGGGTCATAGTTCTGCTTAAGGTTGGTGCAGTCAACGGGGGTGCCGTGTGATTGAAGAGTGAGATGAAAGTGAGATGAAAGACACTCAGATCCAGAACCCAACAGGTCTGTAGCGAGTGTGTTGATTGTAGTTGAGGGTGCAGGAAATAACAAGTCACTCAAATAGAATTAACCATTGGCGTTGCAGTGGCAAGGATTGTGGATTGAAATTCTTGAAGCCTCAATAAGGCCCACAGGACAGCGCGGTTGTTCTTTATTTTGTGCGTTTCGTCTGCAATTAGCAGGCCGAAAATGCCAGCACGCTTGATAAATATTTTCTCAAGTCGCTGTACGGTACCAAGGGGTTCCTTAGTAACAGCAGTTCTCAAAAGAAGTGACAATGATAGACCTTTTTGTTTCTGCGCCCGAGTCCTGCTGATCTAGCAAAAATGCTAGGTTATCTGGAAATTCCAGACTCATCATTTCATCCCGTATGAGCTGGTCGATGTTCGCCTCGAATGACCTGTTCACTCCGTTTATATTCAACTCGACTGCCCTTTCTCAATTTCACTTTCATTTTCACTTCATCTTCCACTCTTTCACACTGTCATTCAAAGCTTCATCGCGCCTAGCACTTCCCCCAAATTTGACTCCATTTCCTTTAAACCCTTTCCACCTCTCAACGTCACCATATCCCGGACCACCGAGACGAAAAATATCAAGGTTTTCTTCGACGTTCAGCAGAAGATTGACCAAAGCATGCTGTGGCTCATATCCGCTTGGTCCCCGTTTCGCCAGCACGAATGGGTCATATCTTGTTTATGATCCCAGCCTCACAGCTCAGGAGTGCTGCTGATCGCGTCAACCCATACCGGGATAGACTGGAACGAACTGATCGGGCAGGAACAGGCTTGCAGCAGAAGTCCTCGCTGCCCGATCCAACCGACGGATCTTCCTGAATCCCGAGAAGTACCAAGAGCTCCATTTATGGGATTCAATCGCTATCTTGGGAGACGTATGTCCCGCCTGGAATCAATGACCTTATGAGGCTCGATTAATCGCTTACGACGAGGGAGATAAGCCCAAATTCAGATTGTGCACACGGTGCGAGTCGTGACAACCTTCATTCAGAGCTTGCCCTACCACGCCCCATTCAAAGTCCAAATTCGAAATTTGGTTTGAATCTGCCCATTCAAGAGTATATAACACAAAGGCAGCTTAGTGGAGATTCGGTTTGTCAAACTTTCCCTACGCAATACTTGAAGTCAAGCCATACCTCTTACGATCGCCGGATTTTGGACCTCTGATGAGATAAATTGGCTTGGAATGGTCACCTGGATTTCTCACTGCAAGATGGCCAATAGAGTGCAGCGGCGGTACATTCCTTCCTCACAGGTTAAGTGCTGAAAAATGATAACTACGTTCTTTATAATATACAGACTAAGAGAATTAAGCGCTCCCGAGACATCATTTCTAATAAAAATCCGGTGCTAAAAGATCTAACTAATCTAGCTTACAATCTTAATATTATAAGCTTAGATCTGTAGTAAAAGTCTCCTTCCAATCGCCACGTTCCAGTGGATTTTCTTAAAAAGTACATGTATGAACAAGAATAGTTGGCTGTAGTCTTCTTGGTAGTCTGCTAGTCTGCTCAGGTAGTCTTCTCTGATAGTTCTTTTAGATATCTGGCTACATACATATTTTCTCCCACTTCTCAGTTTGTCAGGTAGACAACAGAAAAGCGCCAAAACAGGCTCAATTTGTGAAAGCGACTTTTCTATGTATAACCTTCGGTTTTATTAATCTTATCACTGAATAATATATCCTGACTTCCTAAACATAAATGCTAATAAATCATATAGGAAACTTATTGCTTAAATGACAGACAGAAGACTCTCAATTAAGCTCCCATCCCCATCCCCCGGAGTATATCACACCCAACCCACTTCACAGCTTACCCTGGCCAGCATTAGCATTAACGCTCGCAACAACAGAAGTGTAAGCCGACGCAGACGCAATGTTCTTTCCATTGAAGTTGGTCAGGAATGCAGTATCAGCCTGAGAGAACGCTCCAGACGATCCGAACCCATTGAGCTGGCACGCGCGGCCAAGATAGGTCTTGCAAACAGCATTGGTGTTGGTATCCGGCGAGGAGAACAACTGTCCAGAAATGGGCTCCTCAACAGCAGCAACAATGTTCTGGAACACATTACCCTCAGCGAGAACGTATCCGCCCTGGCCGATCTCGAACGCGTGGCCGGAGTTCTGGTACCAGTAGTTATTGACCTGGTGCATATTTGTTAGCCACTGTATTCATATTCCAAAAGAGACTTGATCCCGATCCGATCCACTCACAGCATGCAGAAGGGTGTTTCCTTGAACCTTGGGGGCGCGTCCACTGGTGTGGTAGATGTAGTTGCCCTTCATGGTAACGAGATCGCTGGATCCGTCGAGGTAGACGCCCCAGTAGTGGTAGCCGTTGCAGGTGGCGGAGTAGTCGCTCGTCCCGTCGATGAAGCTGTTTGAGATGGTGACGCGCTTGGATGCCTTGGTGCCGAGGACGATGTGTTGGCGGCCGATGCGGGCGGTTGTGACGTGGTCGATCCAGATCATGTCGGCATCATTGACGGTGATGGCGTCGCCGCCCCAGACGTACTTGGGGTTGATATCGGTGATAGCTACGTTTCTGGGTTGGGGTTGGTGGTTAGTTTGGGTTTTGTGTTTAGTGGTGTTTTCATAGTATTTTCAGGGCCGTCTCTTACTGGATGATGACGTTGCTCGCACCGCTGACGATTCGGAGACCCTTGCCCTTGATGACACCGGCGGTGCCGCTTCCAACGATGGACTTGTTGGATTTAACGGTTATGCCGAGGCTGCCGGCCTTGTCACTAGAGCAGGGCAATCAGTATGGATTCCAGGAGAAATGATTTAAATCACGGGGAGTTAGGAATTGTTCGTACTAGCTGACAGAGACGGACGGCGCGTTCGGCTGGTAGTTTGTGCACCAGTCGTTCTGGTTGATGGCAACCTGGCAAGCGGAACCAGTACCCCAAGGGGCGCAGCCGGTGCCGGTTCCAGTTCCCTCTGTTCCCCTGAAGTCGAAGGTCTTGGTCAGGACAATCACGCGTGGCGAAGAGTCACCCAAGTACGAGACCAGCTCGTCTGTGGTGCTGGGGTAGACAGGTGTGGCAGAGCCACCGCCAGTGACGCCCTTGGCAAAACCCTCTGCTGCGCCGGAGACACCGACGGCAGCGGCTCGCATAGCGAGTGCTGCAAGGATAGCTGTGATCTTCATTGTGGGAGCTGGTAGTTCTACCTAGGCTTTTGAAGACTGGTTGGTCGAGATGAAGAGTTAAAGAAAACATGTCGGGCGTGGTGGACGTGATCTTATATAGGAAGAAGTATAAGCAGTCCGTCCAATGTAGATAGCTCTCCGAGCTAAGACAAGGATGTTTGAGAATTAAGTCTCCGCAGCCGGGTAATCTCCGTAAAGGACAAGCCGATGTTCACCCGGCAAATAACGACCGAAGCCCTAGGCCTTGCTTGGGTCACACGTGGGACCCGGGTCTGGTCGCACATTAGGGTTGTCCATAATCCACAATTCTGCGGAGAAAGCAGCCGTTGCTAATGCAGGGGCAAGGAGTAGGGAGTAGATTTGGAGAAGAATCCGGAAGAATTGCAGACGCGTGCTATGGGGGATGATGCATACACCAATAGGGTGGCTTTGGGACAATAGTACAGAACGCCCTCCGTGGCCGAATGGTGTGCAAAAAAGCAATTCCAGGAATTAAAGTAGAGCGATCTGGTGCCATAAATCCGTAAATCAGGCCAGCCCTAGAGGATCAGAACCGGCGCATGAAGATGTTTCACCTTGAGGATGTTCCCCACATCTTTAACTGAAGAGAGTCAGCTTGTCAGCTTTGTCGTCGGACTTTTACTCGGATGAGTATGATCTCCGAGGCCCAGCCTGATAGTCTCCTTTCTGCAGGTCCGGGAATATCGTCTTTTCTGGCTTTTCTGATTTCTCCTTTGTACTGCGTAATAACCAAGGGGGTTAAAGTGTGAGGTGTGGGGACGAGAATTTCTCCGTCTTGGCGAACGTTGTGATTTACCTCTGCCGATCTTCAGCGGAGAGTTGGTTATTATTGCAGCAATGATATTCATAGTCTAAATTATAAGATATGAAGATCAGCTCATGCCGATGATATTAGTGTTACCCACCAGGACTGCCAGATGAGATCCGCTGAAAGTTCTTTCGCTCGAAATGATTACTTGCCAACATTGCCGTTAATAAAATATACTAATTGGTGTGTTTCATCTAAACCGTCATGGGAACAGAAAAGGGGATGAAAATCTGTAGATGAATTCTATCCATTAATAATGTGTATTCTATACAATGATGTGTGGTATACAACGAGAAACAAGAAATGGCCACATAACTATACCTATTTCAAGAGATGGTCCAACTCACATCTCTCCTAGAAGGGGACGGGCAGAGGGCGCTCCAGGTAGCCACGCCACTCAGGGAGTGCACGGGCACCCTTAGTGCCTTGGCTCTTCTTCAGATCCTCGATAGCACTGGCGTACTTCACCAAGGTGGCCTCGGAGAAAGCAGTGTTCATGATAGCAAGGCCAAATGGCATGCCAGAGGTATGACTAACGCCAGCAGGCAGAGTAATGACAGGGTATCCAGCTTGAGCAGCGATCTGAATGCTCTGGGCGACATCGGGGGGTACAAGGAGACCGTCGAGAGTAACGTTGCCCTGCTTCAGTGCAGCGTCGATACCCTCCTCGCGGGTAGTGAGCTGGCAGAACGCCAAAGCCTGGAAGTAGGTCGCATCCATGACACCCTTGGTCTCGAGGGAAGCGAGGAGACCGTCCTGGCCAGAGCCGAAAGCAGGGTGGATACCGGGCAGACCACCTTCGGAACCGTAGTTATCGATGTTGTACTGGACAAGGTCCTCAACGGAGCGGACGTTAGTGTTCTCGACCTCGGACAGGTAGTCGCGCAGGTTGTTGTAGAAGTCGACCTTGATGTAGGAGTACGAGGACTCGTTAGAGAAGCCCCGGGTGGTACCATAGTCCCAGTTCCAGCCGTCGGGCGAGACAATTGTCTTATAATGGGGCAGCTCGGTGCCGTTGATGACGGTGGCGCCGGCGGACTCGATCAGCGCGACAAGCTCGAGGAGCTGGGCGATTTGGTCGGCGTCGCCGAGGGCCCAGAAGGACTCCCAGGGGATACCAAAGACGGCGCCCTTAAGAGCAGTCTGGTTAGTCAGGAACTGGGCGTAGCCACCGACGGGGGTGAGACCCTCCTGGGCGGAGGTGTAGTTGTCGCGGGAGTCAATGCCGTAGATGGCATCGAGGGCGTAGACGGCATCCCGGACGGTCTTGCCGAAGGTGCCGACGGTATCCTGGTGGGCGGACTCGGGAATGACACCGGCACGGGAGGTCAGACCAACAGTGGGCTTAAAGCCAACAATGGAGTTGCGCTGAGCGGGGTTAATGACACTGCCGTCGGTCTCGGTTCCAAGAGCAATAGGCACAAGGTTGGCACCGACAGCGACACCAGAGCCAGTGCTGCTGCCGCCGGGGTTAACGGTGAAGTTGTAAGCACTGCGACACTGGCCGCCACGGGCGCTGAACCCTTCGGAGTAGTTGTTGGAGCGCATGTCGGCCCACTCGCTTAGAGCAGCCTTGCCGAGGAGCACAGCACCGGCCTTGCGCATGCCGTGGACAACGTAAGAATCACGGGGGACGACGTTGCCGAGCAGAGCCCAGCTACCGGCAGTAGTCTCCATACGGTCCTTACTGGCGATGTTGTCCTTGACAATGAAGGGGATACCGTGGAGAGGACCACGGACAGTGCCTCGAGCACGCTCATCATCGAGCATCTTGGCAATGTGGAAAGCATCTGGGTTCACTTGGAGAATAGCACTAGCAATGATGTTAGTCAACAACTCCATGACAGGGATTCAACATAACATACTTCAGGTAAGGCTGGGTCTGGTAAACACGGTCCATGTAGCACTCCAGCAACTGGACGCCGGTGAAATTGCCAACTTGCAGCTCGGCCTGAATCTGATCGACAGTAGCCTCCTCCAGCTTGAAGCCGTGACAGGGACGCATAGCGAACTGTCTAGCGCCATCGCCGCCCAGGCGAGGGAAGTCATAGCGGTAGGGATCAGTGAGGATCTGGGAATCAACCAAGCGGTCGGACTCTTGAGCAACAACGGAGCTCACCAAGGCGAGACCGCTCACCAATGTCCGAATTAAAGGTGCCATGTTGGGAATTAGATTAATATCCCCCAAAAAAAACCATGTGGCAGAAAAGCTAATATTTTGGGGGGTGTTCGCGTTATTATACTCCCGACAAGGATACCGTGGATCCTTCGCCCCTGCGCCTGTACCTGACTAATCGCCAATAAACCTTTCAAGGTTCCCCGGGGCCGCCCACTGGGCATTCCCAAGACACTTTCATATTTTTACACTTTACGCTCCGTTTTTTTCAGTTCTGCCGGCTTTGGAGAGCTTTTCTATTTGATACAATCTCATTACGTCCACTATCTTGCCAAGCCATTGTAATTGGTGGCGCTTTTCAGCAGAAAACTTTGAAGGAAACCGATCAAAATGGCCATTCAATCCACGGAGTACCTTCGGCATTGATTAATCTATATTCTCGCGCTAAACAGCTTCATAGTCGGCAATAGAACTGAAACCACCTGCCTAAAACTGCACGTTCAACTAACCAAGTGGATCCGAAGAATCTGCCGACCCCATCGGATGCTATCGGAACCAACTTGCGCTCCGTTCGATCGATGCGATCCACACAGTAAAGGTCTTTTGGTTGGCTGCCTTACACAAAGCCCCCTTTATGCCAAAGACTCGACTACCAAGCTCGGGTTAGCTCGGGTTAGCTCGGCCATTGGTACCTAGATTTTGATAGATGGATGGTATGATCGCAACGGGGCCGATCTGATGAAACCTCAGAACATCCAGAAGACGGTATGTCAAGTCGCGTGTTAACCGGCTTTTTCGTGAAAGAAACGGATCGGATTAGCTGCAGACTTGGGGCTCTTCGTTTTTAATTTGCTCTATATTCTGACAGGTGGCAGCTATCTAACGATATATTGGTTGGTTAGATACGGAATATGGATACTCCGTTATCAGCTTCGAATCCGTATAAACTCTATTAATCACCGGAAGGTTTTAATGTAACCTTGAAGCCAGAGTTAATCCTTGGAACTTCTCTTCTTAAGCTTCAATCGCGCCCCGAGTCCGTGATTCCGGAGTTTATATGCTTTGGTACAGAGTTCCTGTTGGTCACTGGCACCGTGATCCATGGGAATATATTAAAGGCCCGGTTCCACTTGCCTAGAGAGAATTATGTGAAGCAAACCTTTTTTGCCATCGAGTCCTTGGGATCGACCTTGTCCCACTGATATCATTTGCCTTTTACACCTGGACCTGATGTGCAATGTCTCCTTGATCTATACCTTTACCATATTTTTCTCATTTTCTATCATGTCACTCGTTTGAAATTTTCAATGACTATTCCCGACGATATCCTTGCTGCAGACGCAGCAGGGAGAATCCCTAGCGGGGTGACTCTCGAATACCTAGCAGAGTCCCGAGATACCTCCGCCATTGTGGGAATCATTTTCATGATATGCTTCACGGGCCTAATGATGATTTTACGTCTATATGCCCGGGCATTCATTGTGAAGAAGATTGGTTTGGACGATGCATTGGCCGTCTTGACATTGGTAAGATCCTCCACTTTCACCCCAGATCTGCACTGAATATGCACTGTAATCGAGCCGTAATGCACAGCAGAATTGGCTATGCATAGTTAACAAAATATATTCGGCAACTAACAATGGTTCCCATCGCAGATGCTCTACATTGCCTTTGTGGCCCTCTCCATCATCCTGATCAACCTGGGAAGCGGTCGCCACATCGAATACATCCAATATGTGCTACCACTTCCCACCGTGCGCGACACCGAAGTCCTAGACTTTGTCGCCCACATTATCTACACAACGGCTCTATTCCTATGCCGTCTCTCCGGTCTAGCTTTCTACTTCCGGCTCGCAGCCCGCTCAACAAAGCTCCACCTCACCATCATCATCGCCGCACCGCTCCTTCTCGCCGCCTACTTACCCCAGCTCTTCCTCCTGATCTTCCACTGTAAGCCAGTAACAGGGCTCTGGCCCTACGAGTGGCAGGTCGAGCCGAAGACATACGATTGTCACACATGGGGACTTGTGTACTCGGTGAACTCAGGGCTATCTCTCGCATGCGACATGTTGATGTTCGTGATTCCGGCGGCACTCATCAAGGGACTTCATGTCTCCTTGGAAAAGAAGATCAAGTTATCTTTTGTGATGTTCCCCGGTGTCCTGTAAGTAACTTCCACTCCCGAATTCTAACACCAAACTAACACCGCACAGCGTGATCGCAATCTCCGCAGTCCGCGTCTGGCTTGTAGCAGAGGGCCAATGGGCATCCGACGGCAGCTGGGCCTACAATCCCATGTTGTGTGTCGAGAGCGCCGAGATCGCTGCAACTTTAATCGCGCTCTCAGTGCCAGCACTGAAACCCGTCTTCGGAAACCTGTTTGCACACCTGACCGAGTACACCTCTAGCCACTCGCGCTCGCGCTCGACTAAGTTGCGCAGCCTCGGCCAGTCCAAGACTATTGGCAGTGGTGCGGGCTCCAGCAATCGGGATAGCAAGCGTCTCCTTAATTGGTCTAAGATTGGGAAGGATGATTATGAGATGATGCCTTCTGAGGTCTCGGTTTCGAGAGATGTTAGAGGTGGGTCCAGGGCCAGTGTTCACAGTGGCGAGGCGGAGAACAAGAATCATGGTCCGCAGAGTCCAGGGATTCGGGTTACGAATGAGGTTAATATTAGTCGGGGGCTGGAGATGGATGTTGAGTTTGAGAAGCCCGGGTCTAGAGAGAGGTAGACGTGCTATTCTCTTGTTTGTTCTAATAGACATATACCAGACTAGACTACTTGTATATTGTTAAATACCCGGTCATCCAGTTCTTTGTCGCTGTGGCCTTCAGAATGTTACACATGAAACCAATAATTGAAGTGTTATAGACAAAGCTCAGGATTTCCTTGGATGAAAAGAAACCTCGATATTTTGATGTTTGAGGATGAACTCGCGATGACTCGCTCGCCGCTGCCCAACAGCTACGCGCTAATTTTGGGATGTTTCAATAACACCAATGTTATATACACGATAGAACAGCAGGATCTGGGACTACGCATAAATAGAGTGCTCTGTCTCGACAATTACGGATATCACCATCTTCAATCTCATCTATTCCCCTCTGAGCTCACTTCAAGTTATCAAACTCTTCAGCTTCAATATCTACCTTGTTGCCGATATCATGGCTTCAACAGCCGGTCCCGCCATTCATCAAGCTGATGGGTCCCAAATCAGCCAAGCACCTCCACCCAACCCTCTACCCAAGCCTACACGCCAGCATCTCAAACCCCTCGATACACCCATAGCTGAACTCCAGTCCTACTATGGGGAAAGTCACCGCCACTTTCCAGAAAGTATCAAACAGTACTACGAGCTCGACGAGAAGAAACTCGACGATCTAATCACGTTTTTCCATCAAACCCATCCCGCAAGCACAGAAACCACCAGCAAACGGTATCCCCTGATGATCAATCCATGGCTCAGGCGTGACGGGCAGCAGTTGTATCCACCACATTTAGTGGGTGTTGAACACAAGCGCTGTGCGTTCGGCACGTTCATCGGGTTAACCAATGATTTCGTGGATCCCAAAATCACTCCGCTAAGATACAAGCCGGTGTTAAAACCGGAAGCCCCAAACCCCTCTGACGAAACCCCCTCTGGTGCAGGTGCTGTGCAAAGACCAAAGAACAGAGGGTTCCGAGCGTGGCTTGGGCTTCGTAAATAAGCGGGCTTCGTAATTTCTTTTTTTTTTGGGGGCCGTTGGAGGCGTCAAATAGTGCAGCGCTTAGTTTTTTTAGTGAGACATCAAATGGGTTCTTTTTCTCTAGTTAGGTAGGACCATTACGTATTCAGTGCTTGTAGCCTCGTAATAAGTTATTGTGGAGGTCACTATAACTAACTCCATATGTGGATATATAATTGCGTTACTCCGTATGTTCTAGAAGAAGAATGCTGGCTGAAATCCCCTTGCTCGGTCTTCGCCTACCCTTTTATGTGGAAAATATCTTAAACCACAATTTAGAAAGATAATTCCTCGATGGTCCTACAGTATCGGACTGCGTGGAGCTTTGTCTCATGATGTTGTCAGGTTAGCTTCATACTTGAATATAAAACCGAGACCTCGGTCGTCTGGGTGTCATCGTGGCCATAATTCCCAGCCCCCAGGTTGGCCCCAAGTGCAACGTTGTCATTTGCCAATATGCATGAACCAACCTCTTTTGGGGTGTCCATCAAGAACTCCGAAGTCGATTATCAATTCTAGTGATTACTAACTTATTAATCGTCGAGATGCTTCTAACGCGAAACTGTTGATGATCAACGCATATAAGGAATAAGAACACCCGGTGCTCCAGAGGATAAATACTAGTCTATATATCACATTGACGTGTCTCAATCCTCTGCCAAAGACGATCATAATTTCTACGATTCTTCAGAATGACCCTCAAATACCTCATTACAGGAGCGACCGGAGGCCTCGGTGCCGGAGTCCTATCCTACCTTGTTGCGAATGTCCCGGCGTCAGAGTATGCTGTAGCATCCTCGAAAGAGGAAAATCGCAAGCAATTCGAAGACCGAGGGATCGCATTCCGAGTAGCGAGTTACGACGACCCTCAGACATTGGAGGCCGCATTCGAAGACGTGGAGAACCTCTTCTTCGTTAGCACCAACACCTTCGACATCGAAAAGCGGCGGAAGCAACACGAAAACTTTGTAGAGGCAGCGAAGAAGATGAACGTTAAACATGCAAGTCATCAAACTTCCTACACAACCATCCCAGCTAATATCAAACCCGCAGGTATGGTATACATCTCTCGCATTCGGCGGATACAATTCCGACTCCAAGGCGGCTGTCCAACAAAGCCATCTGATGACAGAGGAAATGATGAGACAGTAAGCCAAGCCCCGACCGTGACAATCCCACCCCAGCCTCATTAACACCAGCCAGGGCCGGTATCAATTTCACATCCATCCGTGAGGGTCTGTACACAGACGCCTTCCCGGTCTTCACTGGCTGGTATCCAAGCACATCGACCGTCTACCTCCCCTCTGATGGGCCGATCGCGTTTACACTGCGGTCGGAGCTAGGCGAGGCCAACGCGCGACTGATGATTCGGGGTGGACATGATCGAGAGATCGTGCTGCTCACTGCACAGCAGACTATCACATTCTCTGAGATCGTGGATCTAATCAACGAGACGACCGACCGACATGTTCAGTTCAAGCTTGTCTCGCCGGAGGAGTTTGTGCGGTTGAAAACGGCCGACGACGAGGGCGGGAAGCCGGAAGGGTTCTTCCAGGCGCTGTTGTCGTGGTACGAGAGTATTTCAAAGGGGGAGACCTGCACGATTGATCCGCTCATGGCGGAGGTGCTGGACCGTCAACCCGTGCCGCCGCGTGAGGCTATTCGGGCTTTCTTGACCGAGAATCGAGACTATGAATGGCATCAAAACTATGTTAATCGCGGTTAGCTGGAGAGAGTTTGTTAGCAGCTGACCGTAATGATTGGATATATTAAATTCAGAATGTGACAATGCAGTTTCCAATGGTTAGCATGTGAGTCGGCTGGAGTAGCCGTATCCTGTCTCGGCAAGCAGATCGGGAGTGGCCTTGGGGCCTTAGGCACTTAGTTTTGTGGGTTTTGACGAAATCACGGATCAATGGAGGGTTTGAGTAGATAAGATGGGAAGATTGATATATTTTATCAATCACATCAAATTGTTCCTTCCAATTGACTAGTATTTAACACATGTATAACCATGTCGGAGTGTATTATCGGCAGTAGACAACTCCCTAATCCTCCAAGTTGACGCCGTGTCCGCCCGAGGCTTGTAAACACCTTCGTTGTGATTGGCTGCGGTCCGCTGATGTCAGCATCTACACACCCGACCCGTCAAACCCGAGGTTACTAGCGAAGAGACTCCTTGGACCTTCGTTGTTGAGGATCTTTGTTGGTTTGTGAAACTCGACTTCGTCGTCGCTACCTTCACACTTTTGAAAACTCTCCTCTCCTCTTTCGTCTTCCTGCTATCAATCCCATCCTCGCCACCCTCTTCACCCTCTCTTTCCTTTTCACCTCGGTGTTTTTCACATTTCCGCTCACCCACCATGGCCACCCTCCGTACCACTTCGCGATTGTTCGCGGCGTCGCGGCCGATGTTCCGCCCTGCCTTCGCTCGCACCTACGCGACTGTCGAGACTACTCCCTCCGAGCAGCCCAAGATGAAGACCTTCAAGGTCTACCGTTGGAACCCGGACCAGCCCAGCGAGAAGCCCCAGATGCAGTCTTACGACCTCGACCTGAACAAGACCGGACCCATGATGCTCGATGCGCTCATCCGGATAAAGAACGAACTTGACCCTACCCTGACTTTCCGGAGATCTTGCCGTGAAGGTATCTGCGGTTCTTGCGCCATGAACATCGACGGTGTTAACACTCTCGCCTGCTTGTGTATGTACCCGGACCCGCACACAGGCAATGTCACAGCATCCGACAGCCCGGGCTGAAAGCTAATCTTTTGTCTGCATAGGCCGCATTCCCACCGATACCAAGACCGAGTCGCGCATCTACCCTTTGCCTCACACCTATGTCGTGAAGGACCTGGTCCCTGATATGACCCACTTCTACAAGCAATACAAGTCCATCAAGCCATATCTCCAGCGCGACACTCCCACCGAAGACGTGAGTTGTCTTGTATGCAAGCATAACCTACAAAAAACTAACACTTCTTAGGGTCTCGAATTCCGCCAATCCCCCGAGGACCGCAAGAAGCTCGACGGTCTTTACGAATGCATTCTGTGCGCCTGCTGCTCAACCTCCTGCCCATCGTACTGGTGGAACAGCGAGGAGTACCTTGGACCCGCCATCCTGCTCCAGTCCTTCCGTTGGTTGGCCGATTCCCGTGACGAGAAGACCGCCGAGCGCAAGGCCGCTCTCGACAACAGCATGAGCGTTTACCGTTGCCACACCATTCTCAACTGCACACGGACTTGCCCCAAGGGCTTGAACCCAGGTCGCGCAATTGCCGAGATCAAGAAGATGTTGGCTGTCTAGATTTGTGAATATAAAACGGAGTACCGCGGAATTTTCTTTTCTGTCCAATGCCTTTCCAGTCGCCTTTCCTCTGTTTCTCTATTTCCTATGTTCTTTTACTTTTTTTTTTGCCCGACTATGTCACGGATGTTTCTATAGGTGTAAATTGTGGACATTTGTTTCTTTCAGGAATGCACTGGTAGTCCATTCGGCTGCATGATGATAGCGCAACCTATACCTTTTGTATTGTATTAATCTACCAATCTAGATGTCTGCTATTTCCTTATAATCCATGTATATCTGCAATCTATATTTGTCACAACACACAATATTTCCCTCATAACAGCTACTAAGCGATTCCAAATACACTTATTCGGTATGGGCTAGGCTTACTCGGCTATATGTTCTACCCACGCTAACACCGCTAGCACGCTAAAAAGGCCACCTGGACATTGCCTCCACAAATCGTAATAAGGAAACGAGCGATTACTCAACTGGGCTGTTAGCACAGTTGGTAGTGCGCCCGCTTCGCATAATTGCGAGCGTGCGGGAGGTCCTGGTTTCGATTACCAGATAGTCCATTTTGTCTTACGCTTTTTTGGCCCCAGTCTCCTAGTTCTTTTGTAGCATTGTTTGCTTTGTCCTCTTGTCGGTTGGAGCTAAAAGCGGTGTGAAATCCAACACCCTACCATTGGGCCGCGCGAACGGCGGATTGACACGAAGGGGTATATCAGCCCAGTTATCGGCCATGCAGTTGTACCTTGTGCGCAAAACATCACATCCTTTCCAGGGGTGACCGGTGACCCATTGTTACCAGGTTTATGGACATGGAGGATTGTGCCCGAGCCGACCCTAGCGTTCGTTGCGCCTGCAGCTAGCTGCGCGGTGGGCGAAATCACATAGTGCTCGACGAATGGCAGCTCTATATTGCACCTTAGCGGCCCCTATGGGCGTCATAATATCCAAATATGGTTGCGTTATCTAATTAAGCGTGTTTAATCAGGAAAGAGATGATTTCGCACTAACTATAACAATACCTAGATATGCACTATAGACTATGCGCTATCTATGCACCGACCTCGTGGGTCGCCGCTCTTTTTAGATGAAGCCATGCCCTTGCCCCTCCTATATAATACATGGCTCTCATTCCTCTTCCTTGGGATCAGTGAGCCGGTCTATGATGGATTCCTTGACACTGTTCGTGTCCGTGCTGGCGTTGCCGTTGGGACTGCTGGTCTTGCGCACTGTGTACCATCTGTACTTCCACCCGCTGTCCAAGTTCCCTGGTCCAAAACTCGCTGCTGCGACTTTTCTCTACGAATTTTATTATGATGTGATCAAAAGCGGCATGTACATCTGGGAGATTGAGCGCATGCACGAGAAATATGGTGAGTATATAGATCCGATATCAACATCAACCATCCAAGCTAGCAAAGCCCATACCAAAATGCACGAGCCACTAATACCTCATCCAGGCCCAATCGTGCGCATCAATCCACGAGAAATTCATATCAGAGACTCAACCTACTACGACGAAATCCACGCCGGCGCCTCGCGCAAACGCTCCAAGGATCCCAAATACGCCATAGCCTTCGGCGCGCCCTACTCCCTCGTGGGAACAATAACCCACGACCACCACCATTTCCGCCGCGGCCTGCTAAACAGCTACTTCTCCAAGCGCTCGGTGGTAGACCTTGTCCCGTCCATCCACAACAAAGTCGACAAGCTAATCGCGCGCTTCGAGCAAGCACACCAAGCCGGCGACGTGCTGCACCTGCAGCTAGACTTCGCCGCGCTGACAGCAGATGTCATTACCGACTACAGCTACGGCTGGAGTTATGGTTACCTGGACAGCGAGAAGGGGGCGGTGAGCAATGACCTCGTTGACGCTGTTAATGGGCTGATGGTTATGTTCCACATCAACCGGTTCTTCCCGTTCCTTATTTCCATTTTCAGGAATACGCCGCCTACCCTGCTACGCTGGCTGCAACCAAGCATGGCGGATTTGTTTGACTTGAAGGCTAGGCTTAGACAGCAGGCGGATGATACTCTGCAGAAGCAGGGTCTACGGAAGGTTGATTCTGAGGCGAGGTCGACTATATTTGACGCGTTGACGAATTTGGACTTGCCCGAGAATGAAAGAACACTTGATCGGCTGGAGGATGAGTCTGCGCTGTTGCTTGGCGCTGGTACGGAGACTACAGCTAGGTCTATTACTGTCGCGATGTTCCATCTCATCCGCAATAAGGATATCATGGCAAAGCTGCGGGCGGAGTTGAAGACTGTGCTGGCGACACCGCTGTCCAAGGCTTCGTGGGTGGATTTGGAGAAATTGCCATACTTGGTAGGTTATTGTCTCTGAGCCAAAGGCCTTAGTTACTTCCGTTGTAGATTGCTGATTTTGTCGTTCCCTAAGTAGACGGGTGTCGTCAATGAAGGTCTGCGTCTCAGCCACGGCATGACAGCTCGGTTGGCTCGTGTTTCACCGACCGAACCCATGCTCTACAAGGATTGGGTTATCCCTGCAGGGGTAAGTAAATTATACTGGCTACTGGCTGTAACGTTCCGGTTCGGCTCTGGGGCGTGACACATGACAAAACTAAAGCCGGCCGGCCTTTTTCAGAAAAGGTTACTAATAATTGTGCTTGGCAGACTCCGGTTAGTCAGTCGAACTACTTTGTTCATATGGATCCCACGCTCTTCCCTGAGCCAGAGAAATTTGACCCGGAGCGTTGGATCCGCTCGGCAGAGAAAGGGGAGTATCTAAATCGGTATATTGTCTCGTTTACCAAGGGGAGCAGACAATGTCTGGGAATGAAGTGAGTTGTGATTATGAATCACCTGGCACGATTTTATATACTAAGACTTTATCTAGTCTTGCCTATGCGGAGATCTACTTATCGTTGGCACATATCGCTCGTCGCATCGACTTTGTGCTGTACGAGACGACTCCTGATAATATCTGCGTTTATCGTGATATGGGAATCGGGTGTCCGGAGGTTGGTTTGTTTGGGGTTAGGGCTACGGTGGAGGGTCTTGTGGAGGAGTAAGGTTGTGTTACTGTAGGTCGTGTAAGTTTCCTCTGTCACGATGGTCATGATTATTACGATGATGTATGAGAGTTGAACTTGTACTTTTGTCGATATTAAGGGTCCTTTGTGGTGCTTTTTGACGTGCGTGTTGGTTATGCAGCTAACCGTGTTGTGGGGTATGTTTCACCTGATATATACTCGAAATACTCTATGGCTTGATGATGAGGGATATTTCATTCTAGCAGATTTGGTATGTTCAATTTGATTTAATGGATGCACCTGCGAATATATTCATTGGGTATGTCGAGTCAACCTCTTGATTTGGAGATCCCTTATATATTATTTCGAGGCTAAGCAATAAACTCGCGGAGGCATGACCAATGCGAGCCAATATCTAATACTTAAGAATATATATCCATATAGACCTCTCATATTAGAATTCATAAATTTCAACCAGCAGTTAAAAGGAACTAATTTATTCGTAATGCTTACAGAGCTATACACACGGACCTCAGGAGTGCTTGATCTAACATGAAAGGCTGCTACTGCGGTCTTTTTCAAAATTGACACCAGATGACCTATTATGTATGGTCCCTGGACCCCTCCCCAAGCAAAGATTGTTAAACTGAACACTAGTAAACAATATGTTCTTCCAAGGTTACAAACCTCTGCTGATATTAAGCAAATCGATCAAGCTAGGGCTAGTAACAGGATCATGCTCGATGCAACCTAACAGACCACAGTAATGTATACACTATCAAATCCAAAGACACAGACCAACCTGACGCGATCCTGCGGATATGTGACAACAACGCATAGATAATAAATGTACATAGTTATAACCAGTCTCAATGCAAAGTAAGCTCGTACATATCGTGCACTGATTGGCTAGTTCTGCAAGGGGTGGTAAAGGTTGCTAGGGGGTACCTCCTGCGTGCCAGAATACCCCCTACACATTCATCACCCTTTGGGTGAAGTTTTGACAGGGTCCGATCACCTTTTGTGTATTGAGGTGGACGTCTCCCCGAAGACATCTGGACTTTATCCTATACCTGGTATAGTACTAACTAGTATACAACGTCTGTTCTTCGCGGGAACCATCAGCCCAAGATAGAACTTAAGCAATAATCTGGAGAAAAAACAATCACACTTATTGCTCTCGATTGTAAAACTACGTGTTTTCGACTCACATCCCCGAGAGATCTGGAGGAGCTTTATATGTGCCATCATGCCACATTACCTCTGATATCATGCAGCCATCAAGTTTGCACGCCTTCTAGATAAAATTGTTGATCTTGGACTTAATGTCCAGCATCTGACAAGCTTTCTCTTTCCTAGGCAGGTCTCTAGGCGATCATTCCGCAGGAACCAAGCATACGCGGCACTCGGAACCCTTTGCAACCCTCCGATAGGCATAGGGTCCCTGCTATGTGGTCGTCATCCCAGCGATGTTGATCACTATCAATAAGAGCGCGAGGCATGGAAGATGCCAAACAGAACCACAACAGTTCATCCACAGCCCTATAATGCCTACATAAACGCCATTATAACCCTTTCTCCGAACCCTAGCCAGTCCTTCATTTGCTTTTCTGACCATATATACTCTCATTTATTCCCCAAGACCCACGCCACTTGACCAACAAAATGCACGTCTCATACATTTCTCTGGCGTTCCTTGCCATCGGCGCCATCGCCGCGCCCGCCGCCCCCAAGCCCGACAATGAGTTCGGAGACATTGCTGGCGGCTTCCCTTTCAACACAGTTGGCTCCTCCAGCATCGAGGACACCGATGAAGGATTCGACGATTCCTTCCCCTCCGCCCTCGACGCAATGCACCAAGCCTTGGCTCAGAAGCAGCAGTCCGCTCAGTCCGCTCAGCTTGCATCGACCTCCCACCCTTTGGTTGCCAAGCCCACCAAAGCCCACCCAACCGCGAACTTCCCAGCTCCCGTCGTCTCCCAGGCCCCCTCCCAGGCCGCCCCTGTCGTCTCGCAGGCTCCTGTGATTTCCCAGGATGACCCTGCTCCCACCATCCCCACTACATCTCACGCGGTGATCCCCACTCCTGCGAAGAGCAGCTCTGCTTCTCCTTCCTCTAGCGCAACTCCATCCCCTAGCGCATCTGCTGCCGCTGGGCCCCTTAGCGGCCTTGTCAAGGGCCTTCCCATTGTTGGAGGTTTCGTTGGCGGCCCCCTGGCTGGCCTTGGTCTCCGTCGTTAAGACTGTGTCTGTCTGATGTGATGATGGTGCGGCGCGGATTATTACCTTACGTATCAAATGTTGATGTCGGTCACTTCCGCTCTTTTTGTACTCCAGTATCTTTGGCAATGGATTGGAGGCGCTTTTCTTTATTTCTCTCTGACAATCATTCATATATCCAATGACTTTAATTTATAGAATCTGTTTTGGCTATTCGTATATCTTTGAATCTATGACATTATCACACGGAATTTATCTCAACATATGAAACATAAGACACCAAACTCCTTAACTTGACGGGTATCTCCCTCCAGATCCCAACCGATCAATGCATCCCTCAACAGCCTTCTGCATAGCATTGGTCGCCTCCTCCAACAGCGTCGTCAAAGGGACCTTCCCAGCCATCTCCGCCTGCACCCTCACGTACTCATTATTCAACACCTTATTAATATTGATCTTGCTAACCCCACAATCAATACACTTCTTAAAGATCTCCTCCGTAAATGGATCCGCCCCATGAAGCACAAGCCTAACCTCCCTCCCAACAGCCTCATTAATCGACTGCAACCGCTCATACTCCAACTGAATACCCCGGGGTCCATACTCGCCATGAACATTCCCAAACGCAGGCGCAAGCCAATCAATCCCGGTATCCACAAACTCCCGACTCTCCTCAGGCGTCGTAAGCAAACCCTCAAGATCAGCCGTATCAGCAACACCATCCTCACCACCCTCAATGCGACCAGGCTCCGCCTCCGTCGCAATCCCCCGCGCATGGCAGTACTCAACCAGCTCGCGCGTCAGTGAAAGATTCTCCGCCTTCTCGTAGTGCGACATGTCAACCATGATGCTGTCGAACCCGCCCAGGTCCGCCGCGTACCGTATTATCTCGGGTGTCTGCGCGTGGTCCATGTGCACGGTTACGGGCACGGAGGCTTTGCGCGCGGCTGCGGCTGCTGCGTGCACGAGGAGCCCGTCGGCGTAGTGGATCGCCCATGGGAAGAGGAGGATCATTGCGGCGGAGCGCTTGGCTTCGGCGGCGCGGACGGTCGCGAGGATGCCTTCCATGTTGTAGCAGCACATTGCGGGGATGGCGTAGTGGTTTGCGGAGGCATGGTCGAGGATGCGCAGGGCTCGGTTTTCTTGAAGGGTCATTTTTGGTTTTGGGTGGGAGGGTGATGAGCTTGTGTGGGAATTGAGGGCTGCGTATTTTTGAGGTTTACTGTTGACCGGAGCCTGTTGCGTTATATAGTCTTGTTGTCTTGTCCGAGTCGCTTCACGTCCGAGTGTCGGAGTTGCTCCGTGGACTACGTCACTTGGGGCTATTCGCGGGCTCATTCTGTGCCTATACATATATCCATTGACATGTGGAAGACGCGGGGGATTATACCGGAAATCAGACCTTCAGTACATCCCATGTCCTCGGCAACTATACATATTCTCACTACTTTGGTAAGACTAACAACTTCGACAGAATTCGGTCACAAGAAAGTGGTTTGTTATTAGGTTTTTTCCATAGACGTTAAGCATAAATATGGATGTTTCTATCAAATCAAACCAGAGAACTCTCTTAATTAGCCACAGAACGTATAAAGGGGATGTTTAGCCTGTAGTGGTCGGCCAACCTCCGAACGTCTACTAAGTGCCACTTCCAGCAAGCACAACAAAACCCAGATTCACATCTACTAACCGAAAATCACGAAACCTTGCAATTCAAAAAGTCGGACCCTGGCAAAGCCATCGACTATCGGCAAAAGCCAAGGTAAACCCTCGGACTTGCACCGAACCATCCCGCGTTTCCCCAAACATCTTCCCCTCATAAAACCCCCACGCAAGTCGAGCCAGTTTATTTCATTTTATACATTAACATTTTCCCAGACTATTCCATCAATTGTATACCTCATTCCCCAATCTGAACAACAATGTCCAAAACCTCAATCGGTTTCGTCGGCCTAGGCGCCATGGGCTTCGGAATGGCCACACATCTCGTGAAAGAGGGCTACGCAGTACACGGCTTCGACGTGTTCCCAGCCTCAGTAGAGCGCTTCAAGGCCGCAGGCGGAATCCCAGCGTCATCACTGCAGGACTCAGCAAAGGAAAAAGAATTCTATGTTTGCATGGTAGCGTCAGCGCCGCAGGTGCAGAGCGTCCTTTTCGGCGATGATGGCATAATCGCAGGTAAACCAGCCCAATATAAACCAGAAACATATTGAAACTAAAACCTAACCGTCGCACAATATATCCAGCCCTCCCCAAAAACGCAACCCTCCTCCTCTGCTCCACCGTCCCAGCATCATACGCCCAATCCGTCGCCGCAGAGCTCACCTCCATCGGCAGGAGCGACATTGCCTTCATCGACGCACCCGTGTCGGGCGGCGCGCTCCGCGCTGCTGCCGGCACGCTGTCGATTATGGCTGGCGCACCCGACGCGGCGCTGGAGAAAGGCCGTTTCCTGCTGCAGGAGATGTCGGATGCCAATAAGCTGTACCTTGTCCCCGGCGGGATTGGTGCAGGTAGTAACATGAAGATGGTGCATCAGGTGTTGGCGGGTATTCATATTCTGGGTGCTAGTGAGGCTCAGGGATTTGCGGCGCGGCTGGGGTTAGATGCTGTGAAGACGGCGGAGGCGATTAAGTCTAGTCCGGCTTGGACTTGGATGCATGAGAATCGGTTGCAGCGTATGCTGGATGAGGACTGGCATCCTGGTGCTAGTGCTTTGACTATTATTCTTAAGGATGTGGTAAGGAATGATGTTTTTGAGTTTGGGTTTGGGGGGCTGGGTTGGCTAATTGGGTTTCGATCAGGGGATTATCACGACATCTGCGCGCCAAAGTCAATTCCCGACTCCGCTTTGCTCGACTGCTGAGCAGGTTTATTTGTCTGCTTTGTTGCAGGGATATGGCTCTGTTGATGATTCGTCTATGGTGCGGCAGTATTTTGCTGAGCCGATCATCAAGGTCTCCTCTACTAAGTCTGATGAGGAGATGGCGGAGGCGCTGCAGCTGGTGCTGGATCTGATGGAGGTAACTAACCTCGTTGCGGCTGCGGAGGCTATTTCATTCGCGCGCTATCTCAAGGTCGATCTGAAGCAGTTTTATACTCTTGTCAGTGATGCTGCTGGTGCTAGTCGGCAATTTATGACGAAGGGATTGGAGATTATTGAGGGGCTTGGACAGGGTGATAAGGGCTCTGAGACCGTTGATGCTGCTAGTTCTCGGCTAGAGAAGGCTGTGCAGAAGGCCCGCGATCTGCACTGTCCTTTAAATCTAGGCAATGCTGCTTTGAACGTGTTGTTCATGGCTAAGAGGTCTGGGTTAGGGGCTGAGGGAAGTGCTAGTGTGGTGAAGGTTTTTGAACATTAGTTTAATTATAATAAGACGTGAAGGTTTATAGTCTAAATTCTACGTTCAAGCTTAAATTAACTGCCTTTTCTCGCCACGGGCACAGTCAGCTATAAACTTGACCACATCTCTGACTTGCTGGGTAGAAGGACTACTCTTTGCAGCTACATCTTTCCTAGTCTCCTCGAATATAAAAGAATGTCTTGATATAATACTATCAATAAGAAATGCGTTGTGTGTGGGTATCCAGAATATTATATCCAACCAAAACCAATTAGTATGTACGGCCCAGGAGACCCCAACAAGGGGGGTTATCCAAAAGCCAAAGAAAAGAAAGAAAGACGTCAAGTATACCAAAAGTCACGACCCAAATCTTAAAACGGCTTAACTCATTTCGCATGCCACACACAGTAAAGCATCTAAACCTCAATTCCCTTGAGATTCTCGATCGAACCCACCGAAGTCCTGTGATCCCTGATGAACTTAGGCCAAGTATTGGTAAGCACAAGGTACTTAATACTGGCCTCCGCAGCATCAAAGATCGAAGCATCAAAGTCCACAGGAATATCACCCCAGTACTGCACGCGGTCCTTGATCGAGCCCGCCCTCTCAGCCTGCAGGGTCTTGTTGGAGTCCGCAGAAGATGGCGACGGCAGATCGAAAGTGAATTTATCAAATGGACTGGTAGGGTCACAACACTCGCGCTCCTCGCCGTAGACAAGACGCGTCGGTTTCTCGAAAACGTCTTCTAGCTTCCGCAGCTCCTGGTGCGAGATGTTAACGGGGAACTCGGCATGGCGGACGCTGATAAACTCCGCATAGATGTGCAGCGCGTGGTTGAAGCTCTCGCGGACGATGCCGCGCTTGCTCTTTTCTTTGAGAGCGCTGCCGTCCTTGATGGATTGCGGTAGTCGGCTGCGCCATTCTGCAACGCTGGTCAGGAAGACGATGTTCTCGCCGGAGAATTCGCGCAGGGCGGAGAATTCTTGTAGTGGGGCTGGGTTGCGCTCGAGGACGTGCTCAAGTGCGCCCATAGTTAGGATGCTGTCGCGGGAGCTTAGGGTGCTGGATGAGCTGTTTGATTTCCAGCCCGACATTATAGATGCCACCATTGTCATGTCGGAGTGGAGGGACTTTTCTTCGGAGCCGGTGGATTTGACTTTTAGTTCCCAGCGCGCGATCGAGTCAAGGGTTTCTTGTCGGAGGGATTGGTGGCGCATTACTTCCCAGCAGGGAAGGAAGACTGTGAATATTTCGATGAACATGATGGATAGGCAGATCCTATGATATAGTTGCGTTAGAGAAGTAGGTGTGGGTGGTTATATTGGTTTAGAACTTACCACTGAGGAGGAACCCAGACCTTGTTGACCGGGGCCATGGCGGGGACGTAGAGGCCGATGAGCCACATCGGGGTAGCGTGCAGGTTGGAGACGGCGCAGCCAATGGTCTGGACTCGCCAGCCGTGGGTATCGTGAATGTTGCGGGACTTCCAGAGGACGACGGGGGCAACGATCCAAGACCAGAAGAACTGCGAGACCACACCGGGCCACCATTCCCATCCTGCGCCCTGTGCTGCGAGCACCTCCGCGGGGGTACCATGGACTCCGGTGCCAGGAATACCCCATGAGCTATGGTACTTGCGAGAGATCAACCACATAAGGATAGTGAGGAACACCTGTTTGAGATGGTGAGTCAGATAAGACTTGTCACAGATATAAAAAGGTGAAGGTAGCATACCTGAACAAACATTGCGATAGCGACGTAAATAAGGATCTTGGTGGTATATCTGAGAGCACGGAAACGATTGATCAACCCACCCTTGTGTTCCAAGGCAGGCGATTCAGTAAAACGGTGTCCATCCAGAGCATATTTTCTCTGGAGCTTTGCGACATGCTGGAAGCGAGTGTTAGAGCCATGGAAGAGCGCCATGCCACAGGGCAGCAGGGTCCCCATAAGCCAATAGCCGCAGTCACCCGGCAGCATAGTGCCGATCATAGTTGCGAACTGGGTCGGGATCCAGTATAAATGAAGGATAACGATAGAGGTTAACGACAGAGCGAGGCCTCGAATGCGAAGTGTCGGCATATCACGGTTGGCGATCAGATAGGCCATACCGGCCACCACAGCAGAAGTCCAGAAACATGCCCAGACAGCCCACCAGATGGTGACGGGGCCGAGATCAATCTGGGCCTTGGACTCGGCCGTGGCACCGAATTCGGACCCCATATCAAGAAGTGCAAGTGCTTAAGGAATGTGTGTGAAGTTGGATAGCGCTTGATGTGTCCAAAGTGCCGGGTCTACTTCTTATGTATAAGATCGTGCATCGATGGACTGGGGCCACGGGGTGAGCACTTGCACAAGGAAGTGGGCCCCCTAACCAGGTATTTCGGTGTTCGGTGATGTCGATCAGTATGGCTAAACGCCGTTTTCACTCCATTGTTCTGCTGGCTAATATTACGTTGTGGAGTTGTTCAGGCACTGGAGGTATATAACTTGCTCAGTTAATGGTCTCGCTGGAGTTCCGTTGCTCCGCTGTGCTCCGTCTTCGTCCCGTTCGGATGGGAAATATCCACAGTTATAAATTTGTCAATGGATGTGAAGATATGATTGGTTGGATAAGATGAATTTCGAGATTTAAGATCTCTTGGCAGGACCAAGTCGAAGTCTCCCCTTTTCTATTGAATCCGCGCTTGACGCTATTGAATTTCGCCAAACTGTGTTTCCGTGAAGGAAGTTGATCGTAGCCCTAAGAGGCAGGCCTTTTCCATTTTTTTGCATGACGTTAGAATGCTCACTCGTAAACGGCTATAATAGGTGTAATTCGTTTTGGACTTCCTTCCTATTATCGCAATTCGCGCAAAATTCCATGTTTCAGACGCGTTCTTTTGTTACCCCTGCGGAATTAGGGCCTTTCTCTACAACCTACTATTGGCGGACTCCCTAGGCCAACGTCACATGGGATGTTAAGATAATAGGCTGGTCGGCTTGCATTTGCTCGAAAAGAGCCGATAGCAGTGCCCGACTTGGATTTAGTCCAAAAAGAGCCTGCTTGTACTCTGTAGCAGTATCCAAATATAGCCTAGCATCTCAAAACCCCGAGACTATCGTTTTACAAAATCAAGTATGTTGTGTGATCAAAAATTTGAGTATTTCGTTCTATTGTATTCTCAATTTTAGAACAGAAAGGAAAGAAAAGAAAAACCAGTCAATTGTCTCAGACAAAAGAAATAATAATGAAAGAAAAGGAAAGACAGTAAATCGCACATCAGTTCATAATAACACGTAAAGGATCAAAAAGTCCCATGGCCTTGGCCTCCTCCGCAGAACCCGCTTGCAACTTCCCATAATACTTAGTATCGAATCGCCGAACATCCTTCAGGCCCCTGTTCACAACCTCTTCCTCAGAACTCGCGTACATATACCCGTAATACGTGTACTGCCCCGCGTCAGAGATCGACACGCTAACCTCGGCCGTCGCACAACCAACGCAATCCCCATCATGTTCAGGCTCCTTCAATCCCATCTGAAAAGCATCCAACTCACAATAAGCCTCAACATAACCATAATACGTCCCACCATAGTAATCACCACATCCACCAGGAACAGGCTCCGCATCACAGAGACCCATATATCCAACCTCCTCTATGGAGATCGCACTCATAAACCCGGTGTACTTGTGACGTACACGCTCGGGCATCGTAAAAAGCCCATCCTTGCAGCACCCCCATGGATGTTTGATATCCGTAAGTCCCATGGCGCGGGCATGGCGCAGATCATCCGCCCGCAACAGCCCGTAGAACTTCCCCTCCTCACCGGGGATCCGACGGATATCCTCTAGCCAACGCTTTTCTGCATCTAGCTCCGACGGTGCATGCATCATTCCATAGAAGAGGTGGAAGTCGGCTTTTCGCTCCGCGCAGCATCCTCGCACGTGAACTGGGTCCAGTAGGCCCTGGCGGTTTGCGTCGTCTTCGGACTCCGCCATCATGAAGCCTTCCGACTCACCTGAGTAATTGCCGTATGGCCGGACCTCCCGCAACCCTCGTTGGTAGGCGGATTCTTCGTCTGCGAACATGCTGCCCATGTACATGTGTTTCTTGGGCTCGGGGTCGCGGTTCGGTGAGGCCGGTTGGCTCTTGGGGGATGGGCATGTGCGCGGGGAGATGGGGATGCTAGCGTTAGCGGAGGTTGCAGTGATGGAATTCTTTGCTTGCCACATTCTGTTAATAGACTCTGTGTCCCAGAGATGGGGGTCCTCTTCGATGCCCTGCTCGGCGTTCTGCTCGCGCCGGTCGTCGCGATCCTTCTGTAGAAGTGCGGTGTCTAGGAGCTTGGAGATGGCTTCCTGTCGGGCTTCTTTTTCTTTGTTTTCTTCAATGCGCTTCATGACGGTCGCTTCGATACGCTGCTGCACAAGGTCAATGTCAATAGAGGGCTTGTTGGAAGAGTTATGGTCAGCTTTCGGGATATCAACTGTGTCCGGAGGAAGCATGTCCTCCAGGGCAACATAGGAGTCATCTACGTTAGCAAGGTAAGCGTTCACATCCACACCGGAGGCTCCAGCGCCGTGCTGTTTATGGTCAGTGCCCACCTCCCGCTGACGCTGTCGCTTCTCAAGATATTCGTCAATTCTCAGCTTAAGTATATTATACCTTATCAAAGAAGATCCGCAGAGCGACGAGCCAGAACTGCCTGTGTCGCTGCTTGCATCGCTGGGAGATGCACATCCAGCGTCCTTCGCGTCCGGCGATTCAGTCTCAACACTGCCCTTTGCATAGTCGCTCTCACAGGCGCTGTGTGCGAGGTGAGCCGGACTGGTCTTGACAATTGTAGAAACAAACGAGCCAAGATCTCCAGCTCTCTCTGGCGAACTGGGATTAGTACGAGCAATGTTAAAGACCGTCCGGGACGAGTTATCGGAACGCGCCAGGCCTCCGCAATCCGACTCCGATTCGGCAACAGCACGCGGGCAGATCTGACCATTGTCGCTGTGGCCAGCACTGTCTGCGTCCCCATTGCCCGAATCGCCAACGGCAGCACTCAAGAAGATCTGACCATTGTCGCTGTGGCCAGTACTGCTTGTGTCCCTGTCATTGGGAGTGGAATCACTCACCATGCGCGCGTTAACTTCAATGACATTGCCGATAGCACCCAGGCCCTCGATTTTCCGGTAGGAGTTTGAGGTCTGGGTCTGGTCGCCTCCGTGAGAGGAGAGGTTCTCGGCCCACTCCCTCTCGCACTGCACGCACATGCTGGGCTGGGTGGAGAGGAGGAGGTCGTGGGAAGGTTTGATCTGGGTGCAGGATACGCTGCGCTCTGGACCGGTCAGGCGGAGCTTGTTGGTGTATTCTTGGCAGCTAGTCATGCTCCAGTTGGAGATGTGTCCGCAGCTGGGATAGTGATGGTAGGTGTGTTTGCACATTTTAAGGAATTGAAGAGTGGAATAGATGAGTTTGGAGTAGACAGTGTATGAGAGAGGAGATGAGAGGAGTGCTCTGCCATATTTAATCTGCGCAAGGGTCGTGGTTTATATATTACATAGTCTGGGGGTTGAGGGAGTCTCCGATGGGCGAGTACAAAGCCGAGTCGATGGACAAAGGCAATATAACAAAGATAGGGTTAATGGCATTGTTTTCTGATGAAACTCTTTGTTCACTGTGAACAATTGTTTGTAAAACAAATTCCCAAGGATCTTTTGCCTGTTGGACGTGTTCAACTATTCTCAAATAATTTGTGCTTGTATCCAACCCAACATAGATTTGGTGCTGTACTTCTTGAGTTATGCTCGGTACTACGAAGACGCATAGTTAGGCTTAGGAGCGATGCCTTAATGCCTGACTTTGACCTGGTTCTTGACTGCTCTTTACACGCCCCCTAGTGAGCAAGGTCGATTTCTAGAGGGAGCTGTTTGAAGATCAGTCTCTTATGGAAAAAGTTTTGTTTAAAAAGGTAGCGATCATCATTGTATCCAACTCACACACTATAACCTCATGGAATGATTTCTTATCCAGTTACCCGAGTAAATAAAAAATTAGAAGCAAAAAGCGTAAAGAGAAAGAAATACACTATATTCTTTGTTTGACCTTTGATCCGTTAGGTCTTCCCGGGATAAGCCTTCTCTCTCCATCTCTCTGTGCCTCTTTTGCCTTTCACTGTTTCTCATACCTTTAATCGTAAGTTATTCACGCAAGGTCAGATCGACGAAGATCCGCACTTCGAACATGTAGTAGGATATCCCCCGTTTGCATGTATGACATGGTATTATCTTAATTGTGGCAACCCGTAGCTGTGGATGGAGACTCTGAACTGCCCTCGGGCAAGGGACAAACGATGATACGATGGGCAATTGATCTTCGAAGGAATTCGTGTCTAATGCCCGTGGTGCCCAGCGAACACGCTTCCCTCAGATTGAACCGTAACTTCCCCATTGTGCCGCATGGTGTTGGGGGTAAAAAGAGGATAGATGTGGGTTGCTCATGCCGAAGTCGCTATATACAAAGGAACTAAACACGGTCGTTTTTGCCCTAAGCAGTGTATTTTCGGTCTTTTTGGATGTCTCTTTGAATCAAAATAGTAGTTGCCTAGGTGGTATGCTCATCGGTGTTCCTATGAAAGTCCTATCAATATTTTTACCTTCTATACCCCCTCTACTCCTCCCCCATAGCCCCCCAAGCTCCCTTAATATGACGCATTCAAAGGCGCTTACATCTGCTATACGCGAGCGTATATGCGAAATGGCGAGCTCCAAGGGTAAGATGCCCAGGGAAAACCCTTGCTTTCCTGAGAAAGAAGAAAATGAGAGTCCAACTACCCGTTCGGAGGCTCCTCGGTTGAGTCAAGAACGAGTAACACCAATAGCGGGCCCTAAAGGAAAGGACAGGAACACTTCAACGTGGGTGGCCGTCTGTCAAATCAATGATACGCCTGGAACCAAGGTCGCCACGGTGTTCCTCAGGTCTATCAACAAATTTCCATCCTACGGCTCTCTGTGACGAGGGCCCTCCAAAGGTCAGATTGTATATCATCAAATATTATGACCTCAAAGACATCCAGGTAAAACAAGACAAAAGAAATGAAACAAGTCAACCCTCCAGATCCGCCAAATACCTAGCCCCAGAGTCCATCAACCACCAAGCAGCAGTCTCATGCATCCACCTCAAAACAGGCCTCTCCAGCGGCATCCTCCTAACCTCATCCGCTCTCTTCCACATAACAGTCTCACTACAAAACACAACCTTCTCCTCTTCCTCCTTACTGCTAATTTCCTCAAAACTAATCGCCAACCTCCCCTGCACAAAATCTACGGTCTCCATCTTAATCTCAAATTCAACCCGATCCCTCTTCCGCACCACAACCCGATAAACCCCACAAACCAAATCCCCAACATCAAAGTCCAGCGCGGCAAGATACCCCGCCTTGAAACTCTGCTTCTGTTCCGGCGTCTTACTAGCCATGGCAAGCACAAGCGCCTGCGGGAACCGCGAGAAAGCGCTCATATTGCGGCGCACGAGTCTTTTGAAGAGCAGGTCTGTCGTCTCACTGCCGGGGAGACAGGCCCGAGGCACGGACTTTGAGGCATGGTCGTAGAGCGTGAAGTACTCATCGCTGAAGAGAGTTTGTGGAATTGATTCTATACTTGGTTTTGTGGCTGCGGAGAGAGTTCCAAAGTGGGACTTGTGCGCTATGCGCTTTGATAGGCGTTCGTGGAATATGTAGAAGTAGATAGCCGAGGAGCTGGTTATTATTGCTGTTGCTGTGAAGATGAGGCTGATCATCTTGTTTTTGGTTGGAGTAAGATGTCTTCAATTGTGATTTGGGGGGTTTTGTGTCGAGAAAAATCGACGTCAAGTGATCGCATCATCGGATACGAGGTTGGCTTGGCGTCTGTTCCTACTCCGTGCGTGTACCATATCTGTCATATCTGCCAGTTCAAATAATTTTATATAAATTTAGCACGTTAAATCGCAAGATCAAATCTGCAACTATCAATAAAAATAGAAGTCAAAAGCGCAACACCAACCCAACCCCCCAATGACGTCAAACAAAGTGGTATCAATTCTGAAAACTCGAAACAAACTTTCACTTCCTCGCCCCATTCTGCAAGACATTTACACGGCCACTGTTATGCCATTTCGCAAGCTTAGCACCACACTTTCCACAAGAATGCTCGACGTCCTTAAGCGAGGACATCAAGTAAGGGATACAGCCTAGGCAGCAACAAAAGCAAAGAACAGCAGCCCAGCCACTATGAAAAGAAAAAAGTCAACCACAAATCTAATATTTCGACGGAATCTCTGAATCAAACTTACTGCGTAGTCCCACCGCTCACAGACTCAACACTGGTCATCTCCCGCTGTCCACAAACAGGACAGTCAACCGGACACGGCGCAGACTGGACACAGTGCAGCGGCACGGCCGTAGCGTATCCACTAGGATGACCGGAAGGCGTGTAGAACTGCTGCGGCTGGCCGGGCCCCTGCTGGAGCTGTGCTTGTGCTTGTGCTTGCGCGTGTGAGTAATCTGGCAGGGGCTGGCCTGCGTACGCCTTCTCGGGCGGAGCAGTCGTTGATGTTGATGCGTCGTATGCTGGCGCTTGGCCGATGGAGTCGGGTTGGTTAGGGTATTGTTTTTCAGAAGGCCCGTTTGTTGGTGTTGGCTGCATGGTGTCTGGGAGAGACTGTCCAGTGGAGTTTGGGCTCACGGGGCCTTGGGTTTGATGGTCTGGGGTGACGACTTCTGGGGCTTCGCTGTATGTAGGGGCTGTTGCTGGGATTGTTAGTTATTCGGTATTTTATGGGGATGTGAGGTTGATGACGTACTTGATTTTTGTTCGGGCTGTCCTGGCATCCTTTCGTCTGGGGAATTGGGGAGAGGATGTTTCACTTCGTTAAATGGGGGCAGGGAGGGTTTTTAAGTCAAATCTGACAGAGTTTGCAGATAGTAATAAGATATAAGATAAAAATAGAGTCAATAAGATCGTCAAGGGCTAAAGTGGAAGTTGTGGTTCGTATTATAGTGGATACCTGGGGATTTCACGGGTGCACTGCCTTCAACGGGTAGAAACCAACTAAGCCCTGGTACTTGTCAGTAAGGGTTTCAAGTGACTATATTTCACATAGTTAGAGGATCAGGAGAAAGACGTCAGATTGGCTGATCCAGCTCTTGACTCGTATCCCGTGGCGAGACTCGGGAGGAACACGGTGTCTACAGAAAAGGTATATGGATTATTGTAAAAGGCTGTTGAGAGGAATGCGGCTTATTTTGCGACCAATCTCCACTTGTATCAGGTCCGCATGAAGCTGGATACAGTTTTTATACTTCGTATAATAGACTCGAGGCCCAGAACTCCTATATTAACCAGTGAAAATCTGCATACACAATATGAGTCTGCCGGGATTGGTATATCGTAGTTAATTCTACTTGTTATTACTATATGTGTCATCGTCTATTCTTCCAACGATAAATCAAAATCAAAATCCCACCCGTTTGGACCCCTAGCGGTTCAAATGTTTTAAGAGTATTACATCCGACACGAGCGATGATCTCCAACGCCAACCCAATCACACGGCGACATGCAACTCCACAGCAGATCCATTCCCACCTGGGCGCCCAGCTGTGAGCCTTTGAAGGCTGAGTGGTAGGCTGAGACGTAAATGCTCCTTAATCATGCCGACACTGGGACTTCGGGGTATTTGGCCCCCAACCACTTTTCAGAACACGCTGTACGAAGTACATTATTATTGCAATATATTAATTGCGTCATTGCGTAAAATATACGGAGTATAAATGATAGCCTTGGAATAATAGTAACTTAATGGCGTGTTGTACAGAGTAATGTGGAGTGAGATAGCTCTGAGTATGTAATGAGTCTATGTATGTATATGTATTTGTTCCAAAGTCCTCTGATAATCACTATCCCAACTCTCAACTCCAAAATTTGCTAAGGATCGAAAGCCAACCAAAAAAAGAAACAAAACGCTTCACGATAGATGCGAAAATGCTGTACAAATACTCCATAAATCCCAATCATCAGAAATACTGATACCGAACCGGTCCTGCCCCAGGATGATACCCATACTGCGCAAAAGCCCCCAAGATCTCACTCCTTTGCATTTTCTCCGCATAAGCCAAAACTGTCTCCATCCGACCAATCCCCCCCTTAACAAACGGATCCGCCCCACGCTCCATCAAAAGCCTAACCATCTCCAGAGCATTCGATTGAACAGCCTTATATAACGGCGTCTGCCAAGGATACCGCATAAGATCAACAGCCGCACCTCGATCAAGCAACAGCCTGGCAACCTTCATATTCCCATTCAACGCCGCCAGCGCCAAAGCCGTCTCCCCCGTATTATTAACAGCATCAATATCCGCCCCGCAGTCAAGCAACATCTCCACAATCTGGTCTTGTCCGTACGCGGCAGACTGCGAGAGCGCTGTCTTGCCCGTCCACTTACCCGCATTGATATTCGCGCCTGAGGCAATTAGCATCCGCACGATGCGGTCGAAGCCGTATGCTGCGGCTACCCCGAGCGCTGTCTCGCCTTCCACCGTGCGTGCTTCCATGTCCGCGCCGTATTCTAGTAGGAGGCGGGTTGTGGCTTCGTGGCCGAAGGAGACGGCGGCCATTAGAGCTGTTGTGCCGTCGGGCTTTTGGGCGTTGGCGTCCGCCCCTTTGGAGAGGAGGGTTTGGAGGGTTTGGTGTTGGTTGGCTTTGATGGCAACTATGAAGGGTGTTTTTGAGCTGGTCATTTCCCATAGAATGCGGCTCATTCGGTGGGGCTTTTTTGAGTGTGTTGAGACTTTGAAGGCGTGGAGGTCTAGTGAGGGTTTTGGCGGCTTGCGCTCCGCAGCTACCGTCACTGGTATTGGGACGTCCGTATCGTTTTGTTGTGGTTTGTTCTCTGTGAGAACTGGGATGGGGAAATCTTCGTTTGGGAGCGCTTGTTTCTGTGTATCTGTGCAATCTTGCACGTCCAATATCACTGGTATTGGGAAGTTTTCTTCTTGTATTTTCTCTTTTTCTGGATAGGGCTGCTCTTGGCTTGAATATGAGCTGTGCCTATCTGAAAATGAGAAGCCTTTGGGCGGCAGCGGAAGAAATGGAAGTCCAGTTGGTTCGTCTGCTAGGCGGTCCTTGCCGTCTAGGCTTCTTTGGCGTTTCAATTCCGGGGTTGGTGCTGGTGCCGTAGATTCAGCGACTTCCTCCACCGGAGCCGTGTTTTCCTTGTTAATAGATAGTAGGCCATCTGTCTCTGCTATCTTCTGAAGAGTTGATATAACGAAGTCACGGTTCAGAGTCAACAAATCTGAAGCGATACCAGTATCGACCAAGTCGCCCTGCAGCCGAGTCCAGACTCCGTCTTCCTCAAGCATCGAAGAATCCTTCAAAACATGAGAAACAACCAAAGTCTCGCTCTTGCCAGCACGGACATCATTGACAAGACACTTCAGGGCGCGCTCAATAATCTTCTGTGATGATCTGTATCGATGTTAAAACCCACACCAACCCACACAAAGAACATTATGAACACACATCATCATATTCAAATTCACCTCGGTAAGCCCAAAAACAGCCGACGAGATACGCGCGCGAATGTCAGAAACCTGACTCTGAGCCCCGAGTGCATCTGGATGTAGCAGCAGCTTCTGCAATTCAAGTAGGACGACATGGCAGCTGTGCAATCTTTTTTTCAAGACTGCGAGATGGACGCACTCTGCACCTAGAGAGGAAGTATATGTCTCGGTCGCGCTTAGTACGGCCAGAAGGAGGCCAAGCTCGTTTTGGGCCTGGTTCGTTAGGGCCATTGACCCGCGCGTCGACTCATACAGGGAGTCGGCTAGCAGTCGGATTGCGGTGGTTTGGTGGCATGGCGGCTGACTACCTGCCCCTGCTTGTAGAGACATGGTGTTGGGCTTTGGGATAAGCAACGGGGCTAGATCTTGCGGAGTGAGAGCGACATCCTGGTGATTGGGCTCATCTGGAGGGGCCCGTGCAGCATCGGGCGATTTTTGGCCCCTCTTGACGACTTTTGGTGATTATGTCATATGATATGTGTGTATTATGAAAGTAAATAAAAGGTAAAGAGACTCAATTATGCTCAAATTTAGGGAAATTATCACATACAGAAGAGAGTGGGAATGGCTTCCGATTTCGTAGCCAGAAAGGGACATGGGACTACAACCTTGGAACCTCGGTATGTATTCTCAACATGAAAGATCTTCTGGATTAGTTTATTCACTCTGTAGTCTTTGGTTTGGCCATTCGCGTCTGGAATTCAAAACACTATATTTACTTAATATTATCTGAAGTCTACTATAGAAATGGAAGTAAGTCAAACAAATATACTTGGTTTATTCAATAACAACAAAGCAAGTAAAGAAAGTAAAGAAGCTCATGGGTGAGAACAATGAAAGCAGGCCATATCCAGAGGCAGCGGCTCACTAGAGAGCAAGATAGTACTCGGACGAATATCATCCAAATCCGAAGCTACACAAAAGTCAACGCTCGCCTTTGCTTCTGGCGACAACTCATCAGCTTCAAGTTCAGCAATGGCTTGTGTCAGAGGTGCCATAATGCGGTCGTGGCACAGGTCCTCGAACTGGGCAAAGAAGTGGTCTGCAGGCCTATTGCGGACAGTGCGACAATTCGGGCGTGTCTGTGCCATCTTCTCACCTAGGACAAAGATGGCCTCCAGCAGCCTCACCAGTTTGTGGAGGCGTGGGATGATCTCGGAGCGGTGACCGTCTCCGAGACTCAGCATTCGAAGCTCCTCGTATAGACTGGACTTGAAGCTGGCGCATGCGGTGACGAATCGCTTTTCGTAGTTCATCCTGCTCACCTCTTCGTTGCCTGGGTATCTATTCGAGCTCATTTTGACTGTCTGTGGTAATAAATAGGCTGGGGGCTTGGTTAGTAGGTTGAATGAGTGTAGGTCTGCTTACCTGGAGTCCTCGATACTTGTAGATGATGGGGTAGACAGCTTGCAGGAACGGGAAATCCCATCTATTTATGCTTTTTTGGTTGTTGTTGACTGGGTTCATCTGACAAAGACCTTGTTCAGTATAATCCACAAAGGAACAAAAGCCATGTCTTTCATAAATTCTTTGTCAAATCCTTGGACAAGGAGACAAAGGCGAGCGCTTCGTCTTCGTGCACAGATACAATAGGACCGTGATTCTGCCAACGAGCTGAAGAAGAAGCCGGACTGCTAAATCGGTGTTTTGAAGCCACTCCGTGTAGCATCAAACAGGGATGACGAAGCCAACGGAGAAATACTGCAAGGGACAGTGAGACGAAGGAGAGAGAGAAGAGAGATAAGCTCTCTAGCACGCTTTATAGTTTTCCATGCCTTACTCTGAAACAAACTATAAACTAATCATTTTTCTAGCTGTCAGGGTTACTAGTCGTACGTTGAAACCACGCTTCACTGAGTGATTCTTTTGCTGTCGGACGATCATCAGGGTCGATCTTCATCATGCTCCTTAACAGCATTACAAACTCCTCCTTGTCGTTTCCCGTGATACTCTCGATCCAGTTTTCCAGAAAGGCTTTTGGTCGAGGGGTAGGATTGCGAATGTTTCCTTGGTCATCGAAGTATTCGGCTACGATCTTTGGGTCCCCTAGCGCTAGTAGGTGAGGAGGGAATGGCCCAAAGAGAGCCACTATTTCTTCGAGATGATGCTTGGTTTGGAAGACGCCCCCGGTTTGCATTGTTCGACCGTCGAACATTCGCACCGCATCTAGAACCTCGAGTAAGACAGCACCTAGATTCCAGATATCGACTGATGGTCCCCACGAAGCTCCAATGATGACTTCCGGGGCTCGAAGCAGCACAGGCTGTATAAGTTCTGTCGGGTGATGGTTAATCCAGCTGGCAGAACCCCAATCGCAGAGAGCAACATCAAGGGTCATCAGATCGGTCGATCCTCGGATATAAAAGTCCTTTAAAGGGTGAGACACAATTGCCAAAGGATCAGAACTAGGGTCATAAGCCATAGGGTCTGGAGTTGTGTTCTTTAAGTAATCGTCAATGATTGAAAGGTCTGGAATTTGGATCATAATATTCCGGGGCTGGATATCTACGTGTTCCTTTCCTCAGCCTTCGACCTTTCTTTCAGTTTTAGATTTGCATACCTGTATGTATGACGCCCGATCGGTGAGCGTAATCTGATGCAAGAAGGAGTTGCTGGCCGAAGCGTCGCATGATCGAACTTGGGACCTGATCCTTGGCAAATAACGTGCCAAAAGTCCTTAGATTTTCTCCCATAGGCTCCAGCACAAGGCATAGATGATGACCATTTGGTCCAAGGTGTTTAAACGAATCGACAAGCATAGGGATGTGTCGATGTCCATCATGCTTGGGATCCGAGTCGCGTAACCGTGTGAGGACTTCCAGTTCGGATATATCTTGAGACCCATCGTAACATTCTGCGCTGAGGACCTTCAAAGCCCCGTAACAGCCAGTCCTAAATGATACAATCAGAGAACGTCCCATCAAAAGGACAGTGACAAAGTCGTCTTGCCTTTGATCCTTCACTAGCCATACTGTCGAGTACCGACCGTAACCAAGCTTTCTGAGAACCTCGTAGTGATAATTAAAGACATCGCCCAGGTGAACAGGGTGGAATCCACCGGGCCGGTAAAGGGTATGGTCTTCTTCAGAGCGATAACCAGCCATGAGTAAACGGGAAGGCCGCCAGAGCTGGGGGTGGATGTAGGATTTATGTTGGGGTGCGTAGACACGGGACCCCTGTTTGTCCTAGGACTACAGCATAGCTACATCCTTGCCTTTGCTCTCTGTTCCCCGAGTCAGTTTGGTCGATAGCCTAACAGCGTATGTTACCACTAGGTTGCTTTGCTGACGGCCCTGATTTAGTTCGCTGCTTCTCTTTTGGCCTTGGAATGGGCATGGACTTATCCCGGGATGAAGCAATTGCTTTATTCCGCTATCATTCCTAGTATATCTCGGCGTCGCATATAGTTCGCGATGAATTACCCTTATCTACAGATTCCTTGCCCTAGACAAGATCCCCGACGGCGCGGAAGTTGCAGTTCTAGCCAAGTAAAGGTTGTCCAACATGGACAAAGGCCTTTTTCAAGTCGGAACCAACTGCCATCAACCAAACCCGGTCCTGCACCTGAACGGGTACCTGCACGATATTGTGTAACTTTTGACATTTCTCCCGGTGAGAGAAGACGATGAACGGAGAAGTCTCCGAATACCTACTATCAAAGCTCTAAATTTGCCAAAATATCCTGAAGCTAGAGATAAACGTAGGATACTACATATGTATATGTCTGGAAACAGCTCTGTACCTGCGGATCCGTTTCCGTCGATGCTCCACATCCCCACTGGAGCTCGAAGAAGTCCAAAGTCCAATGCATCAATGCGTCAATGCATTTATTGACGAAAAGGACTGGGACAAAAATAAAGCTAGATATCCACTTAAAAATAACAAAAAAAAGCCAGAAGGACAAAGCGTTGAGGGGTTGATGTCACATGTTGAGACCCCCCGCTGGATTTCCTTGATCTGGACCTCCCCCCATCTCCTCTCCACCTCCCCAGCTCTCCCCACCAAACATGTCTTCTACCATTGACAGCTCAAATATTCCCACTGATGGCACAGGTGAGCTTGAAATTTAGCACTTTCAAATGTGGTTCCAATTCTAACAAAGAAATAGGTGTTATCCAGCTAGACCCTTGGCTGGAACCGCATCGCGATGTCTTGAAACACAGATACCAAATAGTCGAGGAATGGGCCAAGACCATCAATGAAACAGAAGGTGGCTTAGACAAGTTCAGCAAGGTGAATGATCTCCATTGATTGGTCTCCTCTAAACTAATCCGCTTATCAGGGCTACGAAACCTTCGGACTTCATGCGCAACCCAACGGACAGATCAAATACCGAGAATGGGCACCCAACGCAAAGGAAGCTTCTTTAGTCGGCGAGTTTAGTACGTTGTATACTGGCCATGTTTGAGGAGCTTGACTGAGACTGGCAGACAACTGGGACATCAATGCCAACCCCATGACGAAGAACAGCTTCGGCGTCTGGGATGTAACGGTACCAGCGAAGAACGGTGCTGCCGCTATTCCCCACGACAGCAAGATCAAGGTAAGCACATCAACCCTATACATCAACGGGACACCCCACTAAGAAACCCCGGCAGATCACTATGGTACTCCCCAGCGGCGAGCGCATCTACCGCATCCCCGCTTGGATCAAGCGCGTGGTCCAAGACCTGAGCGTGTCGCCTGCATACGATGCCGTTTTCTGGAACCCGGCCGCAGACGAGGTATACAAGTTCCAGCACGCGCGGCCCAAGAAGCCCGAGAGCCTGCGCATCTACGAGGCGCACGTCGGCATCTCGTCGCCAGAGACTAGGGTCGCTACATACAAGGAGTTTACGAAGAACATGCTGCCACGTATTAAGTATCTTGGATACAATGCAATCCAGCTAATGGCCATCATGGAGCATGCGTATTATGCTAGCTTCGGGTACCAGGTGAACAACTTCTTCGCGGCGAGCAGTCGCTACGGATCCCCAGAGGATCTGAAGGAGCTTGTCGATACAGCCCACAGCATGGGGCTGATTGTGCTTCTTGACGTGGTCCACAGCCATGCCTCCAAGAACGTCATTGACGGAATTAACGAGTTCGATGGAACGGACCACCTCTACTTCCATGGCGGTGCGAAGGGCCGTCATGACCTGTGGGACAGCCGTCTGTTCAATTATGGAAATCACGAGGTGCTGCGTTTTCTTTTGAGTAATCTGCGCTTCTGGATGGAAGAGTATAAATTCGATGGATACCGCTTCGACGGTGTGACCAGCATGCTCTATACGCACCATGGTATCGGAACGTACGTGTATCCTTCTGCTATATTTCAGAAAAGAACCTGCTAACTAAAAGAAACAGTGGCTTCTCCGGTGGGTACCACGAGTACTTCGGGCCAGCCGTCGACGAGGAGGGCGTCACATACCTCACTCTCGCCAACCAGATGCTGCACGAACTCTACCCAGACTGCATCACAGTCGCAGAGGATGTCTCTGGCATGCCTGCACTGTGTCTACCCCACGCACTAGGCGGTGCTGGCTTCGACTACCGCCTCGCGATGGCCGTCCCAGACATGTGGATCAAGCTCCTGAAGGAGAGCACAGACGACGAGTGGGACATGGCCAACATCTCCTTCACGCTCACCAACCGCCGCCACGGCGAGAAGACCATTGCCTATGCCGAGAGCCACGACCAAGCGTAAGTCCAAACCCACAACACCAACCCCATCCATTCATCCAATACCATCTAACACATAACCCCACAGCCTCGTAGGCGACAAGACATTAATGATGTGGCTCTGCGACAAAGAGATGTACACACACATGTCCACCCTAACGGAGTTCACCCCAGTAATCGAGCGGGGAATGGCGCTGCACAAGATGATCCGGCTAGTAACGCACGCCCTCGGCGGCGAAGGCTACCTAAACTTCGAAGGCAACGAATTCGGACACCCAGAATGGCTAGACTTCCCTCGCGAGGGCAACAACAACTCCTTCTGGTACGCGCGGCGCCAGCTAAACCTAACTGAAGACCCGCTGCTGCGGTATCGCTTCCTGAACGAGTTCGACCGGGGGATGCAGCTGGCCGAGCAGAAGTATGGGTGGCTTTCTGCGCCGCAGGCGTACATCAGTCTGAAGAACGAGAGCGATAAGGTACTTGTCTTTGAGCGGGCTGGACTGCTTTGGATCTTCAATTTCAATTCTACGAAGAGCTTTACCGATTACCGCGTTGGGGTTGATGTTCCTGGTACGTATCGGATTGTTCTTGATACGGATGAGACGGTTTTTGGTGGGCTCGGGCGGAATGTCAAAGAGACGCGCTTCTTTACAACTGATCTAGAGTGGAATGGGAGGGGGAATTTCGTGCAGGTTTATATTCCTACGAGGACTGCTTTGGTATGTGCCTGGCCTTTTTTTTTAATACTGCCCGTCTGTCTTTGGTTCTGGTTTACTGACTTCTTTGTGTTCCTTGCAGGTCCTGGCTCTGGAAAGTACTCTGTAATGGGAACGCCAATCCATGTCTGTCTCCGTGTCTTGCGGCCGAGTCGGAGATTGAACATCTGCTGCTAGTTAGTCCTGGTATTGAGTGTTGTTCTCCGTTCGTGTGGTGGACGTGATTTGACCTGACTTCTTCGTTGTTGAATGTCCTGCATTTTGTTTCTGATTACAACTATCTATGCCTAGTAACGTCTCATATCATATACAATGTCTTTTTTACGCATTTTACATTGTAGACTGGACAGAGAGCGCTGTGAAGAAGACACTCTATAGGTTGTATGGAAAGACCATGTTGAGGGAAATAATTCAGTCTAGAGGCACCATGTAATCAAGACAAGTCGGAGAATGACCAGAACGAACTACAAGCTAGACGAGACCAGCCAGAATGATTGGGTTGACTACATATGTAGGTGTATAGGGACGAATGTACACCAAAGCATCGATCAACTACACCAAACACTTACAAACACAAATCCCAAGATGCAATCACAAAGGAAAAGATGTCGAGAATCAGGTTTTGAACTCTAAATACACAAAATAATGAAACACGCCGGTCGAGGGGGGGTTGTGTAAGGTATCTCCAATCCAGACCGGCTTTAAAATCCCATCAACTCGCTAAGATAGACGAACGCATCATCAACCTCCCCCAAACCAAATAAACTCCTCGAATCCCTCAACCTCAATCCCAAACACCACGATTCTGCCCTCGGTACATCCCAGACATTTCATATTCCCTTGCTCGGATTCCTTTCGGATCGAGTCTAGAAAGAACGAAACAAGGGAGTTCCAACGTTGATGCGACAACCATGCAGCTGAAAATGGAAGTGAAATCAAATCCCCTTTCTTGTTGCATTTGTTTTTCTCTTAGATCGGGTAATGTACACGGTAATATACACGCCTCGAAAAAGGAAAATGGTGTTGTCACGTACAACGTTGGAACATTTGGAGTGTTCTGACAAAGGGAATTAAATGAAACTGGGAGGACCAATAGAGAATAGGTGAGGGAAAAGAGGAAAAGGAGGGGAAGAGCTTGAAGATGGAGGGGGAAGTTAAGACGGCGCTAGCTAGCAAATGACAAAATTACATTTAGGCCTTGTTCTCGAGCTCAGCCAGAATCTTCTCACCCTTGGCGCGGGCAGCATTGATATCGCCAACCATGTAGAAGGCGGCCTCGGGGAGGTCGTCACCCTCACCAGCAATGATGGCCTTGAAGGAGGCAATGGTGTCCTTCAGGTCAACAAGGGTACCCTCGATACCAGTGAAGACCTGGGCGACGGCGAAAGGCTGGGACAGGAAACGCTGGAGCTTACGGGCACGCTCGACGGTGAGCTTGTCAGCCTCGGACAACTCATCCATACCGAGAATGGCAATGATATCCTGGAGGGACTTGTACTCCTGGAGCATCTGCTGGACACGGCTGGCGGTGGCGTAGTGCTCCTCACCGATGATACGGGGGTCGAGCATACGGGACTTGGAGTCGAGAGGGTCGACAGCAGGGTAGATACCCAACTCGGAGATACCACGAGACAAGACAGTGGTGGCATCCAAGTGAGCGAAGGTGGTGGCGGGGGCAGGATCAGTCAGATCGTCAGCGGGCACGTAGACGGCCTGGACGGAGGTGATAGAACCCTTCTGGGTGGTAGTGATACGCTCCTGCATGACACCCATGTCAACAGCCAGGGTAGGCTGGTAACCGACGGCAGAGGGAATACGACCCAGAAGGGCAGACACCTCGGAACCGGCCTGGGTGAAACGGAAAATGTTGTCAATGAAGAGCAGCACGTCCTGACCTTCCTGGTCACGGAAGTACTCGGCAATGGTCAGACCGGTCAGGGCAACACGGGCACGGGCACCCGGGGGCTCGTTCATCTGACCGAACACAAGGGCGACCTTGGAGTCACCCTCAAGCTGGATGACACCGGTCTCCTGCATCTCGTGGTACAGATCGTTACCCTCACGGGTACGCTCACCGACACCACAGAACACGGAGTAACCACCGTGGGCCTTGGCAATGTTGTTCTAAAAGGTCAAAGTATAAGCATTGGATGGCGATTTTCGAGGGGAAAGAGAGGGGCAAGTCCTTACAATCAACTCCTGAATGAACACGGTCTTACCGACACCGGCACCACCGAACAGACCAATCTTACCACCACGGGCGTAGGGGGCGAGCAGGTCGACAACCTTGATACCGGTGACGAGAATCTCGGCAGAGGTGGACTGGTCGACGAAAGCAGGGGGCTCGGCGTGGATGGGAGCGAACTTGGTGGTCTTGATGGGACCACGCTCGTCAATGGGGTCACCAGTGACGTTGATGATACGGCCGAGAGTGGCGGGACCGACGGGGATGGTGATGGGAGCACCAGTGTCCTCGGCGATGACACCACGGGAGAGACCCTCGGTACCTTTAGATGACGTTAGTTGAAGCTCCAATATACAGTAGGGGCAGACTCGGTGGGTCCCCCGATCGGGTAGGGAACGACACGGTGGCCCAAGAAAGGGGTGTGAAGGGGGTGAAGCTTACCCTCCATGGCAATAGTACGGACGACATTCTCACCCAAGTGTTGCTACAAGGTAATTGTTAGCTTCGTTGCGATTTGAATCAAGGTCCAGCCAATCAGATCACGTACAGCAACCTCCAGAACGAGCTTCTGGCCGTTGTTGGTGGTGGTAATGGCGTTGTAAATGGCAGGGAGCTTCTCGCCGCTGAACTTCACTATAATATGGCGAATAGAACGTCAGATACGGTTTTGTTGATGATTTTGGGGTTGATTGCGATGGTTTCGGTGATGGATTGGGTCCAGGGAAAAGATTTTCGCGAGGTGCCAATTCCGTCAGGAGTCGACAACACGTACCGTCAACAACGGGACCAATGACCTGGTGAACCTTTCCGGTCAAAGTAGCATCGGAGCTAGCGAAGCGGGCAGTGAGAGCCGGGAGAGCATTGGAGCGGACGGGCTGGAAGGCGCGGGCGACGGGGGTCGTCCGGGCAAAAGCAGCCCTCCCAAAGGACCGGGCGAGACCGCTAGAGAGATTAAAAAATTAGTTTCAAAATGAAAAAGAGAAGAAGCTTAAATGGGTCATAAAGTCATACCTCTTGAACATGATGACGGTGTTGAAGAGCGAGATGTGATGGAAAGGAAGAGGTGAGGTTGGAACGGGAAAAGAGGGAAGAAGAGGAAGGGAAGAGGTTGGTGGATGGGGACTGGTCGCCCTTAGCCTTTCCGGGGCGGTTTTGCCGACGATCCCGTGATGAACCGAGCACAAACTTGAGCTTTCTACAGGGAAAAGAGCTTGATTTTCTTATTTAGAATGGTTTCTTATATATAAATCTTGATCTCTGTCTATTTTAAATATCCATTGTCACTAGTCTCGTGTGGTGAGGTGGTGACCGAGGAAGCTCAGCCCGTTGCCCTGGAATTCGCGCACACACACCGGGGCTTGGCGGCCGGGTGCAGGAGAGCCACAGCGGTTTTTTACTGACATCGTTCCCCCGGAGAAACCATGATATTTAAAACATGTACTCCGTAAGCTGGTAACTAGTGAAAGTATTTAAAATATAATATATCATGGGAAGTCAATGGTCCTTTGGTCCGAATCGGAAAAACTCTGACGTGTTTGGGGTTCGACCAATTCCGAGTAGAAGAACCTAACTATATAGAAATATAGAACTTTTATGTTGTACACTAAATTACATTCGAGGCTAATATTATGTTCATTCATTATAATTATAATGATTCATATTTATACTATTTCTATTTTATATCTCCATAGAAACTAAGCCATATTATTCTGTTACCCTCGAAACCACCGTGTTCCCGCAGGGATTCTCCGCAGTTACGTTGGTTCCGAATCACTCCGTAGGCCACGCCATGTCGGAAGGGGGACACATACACATATTTTATATCATATATCACACCAAAACTCATGCTCTATGGCTACAAAAGAGATACATTGATTATAGCACAGTACGGGATACACGCATTTTCCAATGCTTGCCAAAAAAGATAGAATGGGCGAACAGTCGACGGCCGCGCGCACAGGCGGAGGCCCATCCTCCGATACAAAGACATGTCGAACATGGCTATGGAAAGAGTAGCTTGCAACAAAATCGACATATAGACCGTGCGATGGATGCCGCCGTCCGTCCTGCGTAGGTATCAACTCATTCCCGGTCGGGCAACTGGTACACCTATGACTTCTCGGCAGGGGGGCTCTGGACGAAGCCCTTGCCTTCGTAGCCCTCTTTGCTGATGCCGTGGATGGGGTTGATCTTCTCTTTCTGTAGTCGGATAGGTTAGCATCGTCCAATTTCGCTGGAGCAGAGACTTCTCCCGACTGCGGTCAGAAGCGGGGAAAGGGAGTGATATGTACCAGGGCATATTCGTTGGATGCCTCCTGCCACTCCTTGGACATGGTGGCGGGCTGCTTGCCGGCAAAGGCATGGATGGCGTAGAAGAGAGCAACGGAGACGGCAGTGAGCTGGAGCACCTTGGCGAGCACGCGCAAGCCCTCACCCTTGGGGGGCTGAGCGCGGGGGCCGTGGGCGCCGAAGGCAATGTAGTAAGCTGCAATAGAGGAAGAATTGATGTCAGTGAAAAATGGCTACTTGCAAAGACGACTGTGGAAGTTCGAGGGGTCGGAGCCACCCCGGGACAGATAACCTCGGAAGCCTCAGAGTAGTCGAAGCGAGAGGCTGTCTTTCAAGCAGACTCGTTCTAGGAATATCACGTACCGGCCTTCTTCTCCTGCAGGGTCATCTGGTGCCAGTCGACCTTCATGCGGTCACGGAGCTGCATCCAGAGCTCGGCCTGCTCCTGAGGGGGCATGACCTCCCAGCGCTTCTCGATGTTGGCGAGGGTAGGGTTGGGGATAGCATGGTCCGAGGCAGCGCGGGTCTGCAGGGCATTCACAGAGGCAGTCGGGGCAGCACGGATGGCCGCGGTGCTGCGAGGGACAGCGCGAGAGACGGTGCGAAGAAACATTGTGCGGCAGGCGGGAGGTGGCAGCACCACGTCGAAATCGGGTTCAATTGAGGTAATTAGAGGGAGGTCGGGAGTTTGAAAGCCAGAAAGCACGCCAGGGCACGGCTTAGGAGAGAGTGGAGGGGGATCGTGGATGGGGAATGACTTGAAGACGTTTCTTGTGGTTTGAGGTGGAAAGGCGAGGATCCGGTCGGGACTAGTGCGGTTTTGGTTTGGCCGCCTCCTCATTGGCTCCTCGCCCAAACCGGCTCTCCCAGTGAGCATCATCATCATTCTCAGCTATATGGCATGATGTTGATATTCTTTGACTAGCGTATGACCCTTTTTTTATTATTTCGGCCGGTATCATGCTTCTATTCGCAAAGTTCCCCAGTTTTAGCCAGTCGCTCAATTCCTTTGACTATTGTCGGAATCTTTAGCCGCTTATAGACTAGCCCAGTCGACCTTGGAATTGGAAGCAATAACTTCGCAGGAAAAGCCAGAAGTCGTCCAGTTGCTTAACTATTCTACATTCAACGCCATGCATCCCGAGCTACTCTCACCCACCACGTGCAATATAACCCACAGGCAGCAGGATTCTGTGCCTGGTTAACCAAATACCCTCAACCTGAGGTGGAAGTCATTCAGACCGATTGGAACAAGCTGGAAGTGAAATCAAGACTCTTCAGGCCTCTCGCGAAATGAAACAAACACGGGCCAAGTCGTAACGGTCTTGCATTGCAACTAAGAAGAAAATGGGAGAACGGTGTGCAGAGAAGGTTATGAATTGATCGTTCCGCGGCGCCGTCAAGGGCGCACCCCTATCAGTCGCGCAGCCCGGATCCAGCCGGCGCTATCATCTATGCCTTGCCACCGCTGGCCTCCTTCAGGACTGTCTTCCACTCGATATCGGCCTTGTCATCGGCGTGGATGGAGGTGACGACGTTGAGGGCGTTCTTGAGAACCTCACGGGTGCTGGCGTAGATCATGGACCACTGAAAATGAAATTAGTTATTGGGTCCGAGCCTGGTTTTAAACTCGGGGGAGAGAATCTTACGAGGGTGGGGGTATCGGCAGGCACCCAGGAGATGAAGATAATCTTGCTTCTGTGGGAATGATCAGGTTAGTGGGGGCCGGGGAACAATTGCGAACACGGGAATGCGCACCTCTTGCCCTCGCCGGGAAGCTCGTACTCGACATCGTAGACGGCGTAACGGGGGGCGACGCGGCCCTGGCTGTCCTTGGCATTGGCGAGCTCGTTGCGGAAGACCTCGTAGTCCTGGTCCTTGCCGACTGAGTCTACGACAACCGACTTCTTGTCGTCGGCGATCTTGTAGATGATGTACTTGGTCTTGCCGTGGCTCCGGCTGAAGTCTTGGAAGGCAGTGATGCAGTCATCCTGGATCTGGACACTGTAGGGGGGGCAGGTGTCAATAAATGTGAAAGCGGGGGGAAACCGGTTGCGAGCGCGGGAACCGACGATGACTTACCCGGATGCGAGCTGCGCGATATCATGGTCAGTACGGGATGTTGTATACCATGGGTTTGGAGTTCAATACTAACCGACATGATGGCTTATGTAGATGAAGGAAACAAAAAACGGACGGGGCTGTCTAGCGCTATGTCAGTGGCTGTGGTGGCCAAACTCAGGGGGTCCCTCGAGCTTCTCGGGTTGGCATGAGAAGTCAAAGTAGTATGCACTCCAATGACTTACGGGGATTGAAGGAGGCGGAGATCGAGGCAACGGAGACGGATGAAACGGGGAAAGATGGAGTTTGAGGGGTGAATTGTTTCCCAGGTGTTGCCATGGCCATAGTGGGGGTGGCTGCACGTGATATCAGACTTTTGGTGATTCAAGTGTTTGGTGCCTGTTTACAAGTGTAATTACATGTATAGAATTGATCTTATAGGGTTTGTTTTTAAGGATTTTATGATTTCCGAGGCTGTTGGGGTCTTTGACTTGAAAAATGACAAACATTGTCTGGTGGATGAGTTGATAATGAACAATGTGTTCTCACGAGTTTTTCCTTTTACATCCTCGAAGTACTAGGTACTCCGTGCATGTACATTAGCGTTCGAAATCACACCATGTTAGGCTAGGCTGCATAACATGTACGGAGTACATAGATGCTCGTGAGCCTCTCTCCAATGTGGGTGTCGAGCTAAAATTGGCCTTGCAAGGTTCCATGGGACACGTCAGTGGCTATTTTTGTCCAGGCCCACCATATACTGTATATTGAAAGGCATGTTTACTGCGTCTGCCTACCTAACATAGTTAGGCACCTAGGTATTGTATTGCGTAATCACAGATATTTAAACCATGGAAGTAAATATATAACTCGATAGGAATAAGAGTTTAACGTCATAACCGAATATATATATTAGCATATAACCCCGCAGCACTGTATCGCTTCGTACCGAACCGATATATATACATATATGTATTAGATGCAAAAGCTATAGAAGACGTACAGCCATCACATTTGCCAAATTCATTTCTCATTCTCGAATCATAAAAACTAAACGAATTTCAGCCTAAGTATGTAGATATGTATCAACCCAACCCTAGGGCCTAGGCACATACGAAAGCAAGACCTAAACCTTCGGCGCCGGCGCAAACTTAGCCCTCATCTTATCCGCCACAAGCTTCTCATCATAAATGAAATTAACACTGTCATGCGCAGCCGTCGCCTCAGCCCAGCGCTTAAACCTCGGAACCTGCTCTAGCAAAGCGGGCAACTTAGCCGAAACAAGACCATGCTCAGGCTTAGCGAAGCTCAAAATCCTCAACAAGAACGAGCCCGCCTGAACCTCCGCCAGTGTCAATTTCTCACTACCACCAAAGAACGGGCCTTTGCCCTCCGTGTCGGCCAGAAGCGGCTCAACCTCCTTCACGACAGCAGCGACCAGCTGCTCGGCGGCGGCATCGCGCTCGGCATCATCAGCGGCGCGAATACTGGCGAATAAAGAAGGTAGCACTTTGCTGAAGAAGGCATCGACGAAGAAGGAGAGACGAGCGCGGTACAGGGCGTTTTCGGTTGGTGAGGATGGGGGTAGGAGGTGGCTTTGGTGGGCGTCTGCGAGGAATTGCGCGACGATGCCGGATTCAGCTATTATGGTTCCGTTGTAGGAGATGGTGGGGACGAGGCCGCGCTGTTGGGGGTGGTCGTTAGTATACAGTTTACAGTATATGATGTGTGCTATGCTAGGCGGATTGATGAAAGAGTGGGTGTTGGGAAGAGCCTTGTCACTTACCGGGTTGATCTCAAGATACCACGGCTCGCGCGGTGTACTCAGGTCGATCGTGACTTCTTCGTAGTCGAGGCCGATTTCCTTGAGGGCAACGTGTGCGCGATGGGCCCAGGGGCAGAGGCGGCTGGTGTAGAGGATGATCTTTGGGGAGGACATTTTGGATTGATGTGTGATATTATGTAGGAGTAGAGGCTAGGGAAGGAAGTTATATAGAGAAAGACACGCCATTATAAATGACATTGCGAAATCCACCTGGGCACGGATGAGGGGTTGGATTAGTAAAAAGCAATTGAATTGTAAATCAATCGCGAAATCCGAGGGATCGATTCCGCTAACTCCGTGCCGGATAAGAATTGAGCGGAACTTGGAGAAAAGTGGCAGATACCTAGGTATCTTTGGGTTATACCTACATACGTATGTAGGCAATAGAGAAATTACATGTATTGCACCTTAATTAAGGTCCAGCTTTGATAAAATTGGTCTAATTATGTACATACATTAAAGCGTGCACTATATGTGTCCGATATCTTCTGACCAAACCAGCTTCAGCGGCGTTCATCCATCGGGGTAGACAAATGCTTTCAAGTGACAAACCGATGTGTAGTACGTAAAAAGACCGGAGATGTGCTCTAGGAGCAAAGAGCACATTGACCGAGCCCGATGCGCCAGCGACCGGTTCCACACGAATCAAGTGGAAGAAGATAATGAAAAAAAAGGCAAAATAAGGAAAGGACGAGATGACCGTCATAAAATGGGGGTATATCGAATACGAGTATAAAATGAGCATGGGGCCGATGGTTGAGATCGCTCGGGAGGAGGATGGCCAGCCAGGGCGTAAGAGGCACTGGAAGACGGAACAGAAGGATCAACACGCTGTCGTCAAGACGTAATTTTGCATGAAAACTGAGAATTGAGAACCGTGCTCAAACTTCCTCGTCTTCCTGGCCGCCGTCGATGATCTTGTGCCAGTGCTGCGGTAGACAGATACAGACCAAGGGGAAAGCCTTGATCTCGCCTGACGGCATGGGCGACGAAGCACCATGCATACCCGAGCCATTCGAGACACCACTGTCGCGCTGTTCGCGGTAATTCAAGTCTTGGTCCTCGGCGCGCTCGGGGAGTCGCACACCCGTCGCCCAGCCATCGTCCCAGATGCCAATCACCCTCAACATCTCGCCTCGGTCGAGTTCGAATTCGTCGCCTGCTCGTGGCGAGTACGCCCAAAGGACGGCAACCTTGTCGCCAGCGTGTATCTCATCTTGAGAGTAGTAGTCGCGGAAATAAGACAGCTGCTCAGATCGACCACTAGTTACTGCTTCGGGGGAAGAGTATTGGTTTGTCGGGCCGGAGCGAGGCGAGCTGTCGCTTTCTAGTCCCGCCAAAACAGAGCTACTTGAGAGTGATCCATGGCGTTTCCCTGTTACTGGTGGAATTCTCTTCGACATAGCTCCTGGACTGGCGCCCATACCTTCCGAGTCCGACGTGTCGCTGTACTTGGCTCCGCTGCCATACATCGCCGCGGAGGTACGCGAATAGGCGGGCGATGATGAACTGGGCATTTCGCGCAGTGCAGACATTCGTGTGACGCGGCCTCCTGGAACCATGTTGTACGACGTTGGGCTTGGGGGCTGCTGCATTGATGGCGATCCACCCTTTCTTTGTGGGTTTGGTTGGTTGAGTGCAGCCTCGTTCTGGGTCTTACGACGGCGGCGGCGCATGAAAATGCAGAAGAAGGCGAGAGCACCTAGAATGGCAGCTCCTACAACGGAGCCAACTACGATCCCAGCAATGGCTCCACCCGACAAGCCATGGCTAGAATCTCCAGTGGCGGAAGGCGAGGGCGTGAGAGGTGGTAGAGTAGTAGTCGGTACCGAGACACCGTCACAGCGGCTTGTGGCGTTGGATTTCGTGCAGCAGCTATCGGTGCCGTTCGCACAAAAAGTGCAGAGGCCAATGGTATTCGTCCCAAAGCCACAGTTGTCAGGCTCATTAGCAGCTCCTTTGACACAATCTCCGGAAAGGGCATCGTATGGTTTTTGGCAGATGGTCAATTCGGCGTAGATCAGGTCCGTGTAGTTCTTGTCGCTCTTGGCGCATAGGTCTGTATTTGCCATGGTCTCCTGTTCACTCCGGGCCCAAAGTGCACATGTGTCGACGCAAATTGGTAGCGAGTCGGCTGCGGAAAGTTTGCAGTCGGATATGGAGCTTTGCACGACACTGCTGCACAAAACACTGGTTGTGTACTGGGCATAGTAGTTGTTGGGCGCGCTGGAATTGATGCCTTGACATCCCAGTAGGTGATCATACCTGGGGGTGCCTGTTAGTAACTCTTCTCCTGGTCCATTGGTCAACACATACTTTGTCGAGATATATGACCCACGGACATAATCATTTAATGAATTATCAAAATCCGTCACGTTCGATATGTTTTCAAGGAACGGGCTAACGGCGCACTGTCAGCAATCATTTTTCCCCATGCCTAATCGGACGCTCTTCCACTCACAAGCTCGCATATAGACTGGAACTGGTTGAAATTGACGCGCTACTCCAGGCAGGACAGGCACTTGACCCCGAGAGGGAAATGCAGTTCGACATGCCGGACAAAATTGGCAGTCTGGCCTTATGGATGGACCCCTTTGGGTTATATCGGCGCGGAATGTGTCAATTGCGATCGAGAATGTTCCAGGCGTGCGAATCGGGGTATTCGAAGAGAAGGTAAAATGGTCGACCCCAGGTCGAGAATGTTTCAAGCTAAGAGGAAAAAGGCGTGAAAGGCAGGTAAACGAGTGACTGGGGTTCTGCCCGGAAGGAAAGGTCAACCGAGCCCCGTAGGCCTGAATTCGAAAAGGGAGAAAGAGATGACAAGACGAAGTTCTAAGATTGGAAAGACAAGATTAGACCCCGATGGTCTGGGCTTGTGGGTAACAGGGGGGCGAGGGAGATGAACTGCTGGGAAAAAGGGCAATTATGAAACACGGAGAGCATAATCGGCTGTACAGGTTCACGCTAAACTCGATCTACCTAAAGGGCGATTGAGTCGGGAGTTATAGAAGACATCAATGTGATAAAAAAGGGGGGAGCTTGTTCCGCTTTGTTTACTTTTCTTTCCTCTTTATTCTCGACTCTTTTGGGTAAAATCAATTGAGACTGAAATTCTACATATGCACTTTGTATATTGTATAAAATACAACAATGACAACGGTTACCAAAGTCAATTATGATTGGCAATGGCTGATTGTCAAATTCTGACCGGTCCCTCTATTCATCACCAACCTCGCTAGTAACCCGTTAGCGGCTCAGACACGACGATCGCTATCACCTCTTGCCGTCTGGAAAAACTCGGAAATACTATTACCAGGCTCCTCCGAAGCTTCAATTTATTTCCCGAATTTCCCTTGCGTCCTGCACAAAATCTATAGATGTAGCACATTTCAACGTCGTATGTGAGCTGTCGGTTGGGAATGCGAGGGACCGATTTGGACTCAGGACGGAGGAATACGGAGTACAAGGTACCCAGTCACAAGCAGCAGATACCCGGCAGCCACATGTACTAGGTACTTACGAACATGGGACGTGTTAAGTCAAAGCTGCCCCCCGCTTGGGTAGACATCTGACAAATCCGATTTCTATAGATCATCAGGTCAATAATATCGATGCCTTACTTCAAAGTACATAGGAAGTGTATATTGTAGAAAGTCATACAATATTACCTCCGTACGATGTACAAAGTACGATGAAAAATGTAGGGCTCAGGCGAATTATAGTCATGTGACCATTGACATCATCTGATCTGGACCAGGCTGCCGTCAGACAATCTACGACTCATCCAAACTGTGGAAAGCCTCTAACCATTGCCACATATTTCCAGCGTACTTTGATACAACTCACATTTTCTATCAGATCTTAGGGAAACCGTGAGCCATGTGCAGCTCCGACATCTTCCTAGCGGTACTCGCCGTCTTCTTCCCACCTATCGCAGGTAAGTCCAAACCCGCAGACCCGCGACCAATACATCTACACTCAGTACAATGCTAACCAAAATCCCGTGTCAACAGTCTGGGTCAAGGCCGGGTTCTGCACCGCAGACTCGATCATCAACATAACCCTCACCCTACTCTGCTTCTTCCCGGGCCTCATCCACGCATGGTACATCATCCTCAAGTATCCGGAACAATACGACGACGATGTAGCCTACGAGCCCATCCCAGGTGGCGGGAGTCGGCGTCGCGATCTGGAGAACGGCACCGTTACTTACTACTACGTCTCCCGCCAGCCCCAGCGTGGATATGGCACAGTTGACACTCAAGGCCAGCAGGCGCCTGCTCCAGCGAACAAACCACACAACCAGACTGAAGAAAGTGGGAATGCCGGGAGCAGCAGCGCGCCCCCACCACCCACTTATGCCGAGGCTGTGAAGGGCGACAATAAGGTGCAGAGTCACGAATGAGGATGAGACTGGACTCGTTGGCTTTCTTGTGGGCGTCCTTGGCTTGCCGTTGTCTCTTCGGTCACCCTGTTGCCGGCCCGGTTGTACTATCCATACCCAACCGCTTTGCTGTTCTCGTACACACACTTCTTGAGAACTGCATCGTTACGTTATGACTTTGACGAAGGAATGTTCTATGTAATTCTGAGTTTTCTTGATTTTGTTCACTCGTGTATTTTCTTCGATTGTATGTGCTCTATATGGCCCTGGATGCGTGATACTATATCAGTACTTTTTATCCTAGCCTTGGAGGCATTCAGCACTATCTTGGCCTTTGGCTGAGAAATCCTAGATATAAATCATTTACACCCCGCTTGAATAATTTTCATCTTGACAAGTTGTTATCTGCTTCGGGACTTCCTGTAGATTGTCAATTGAAATAGAGTTTAGGGAAGAGAAAGAGACTGAAGATGGTCTCGACGATCGATATATCCCTCTAGGATTTGTCATGAGCCGGAAAAGTAGTGTCAGTACACGACAAGACGTCTCATATTATACATGTTAGTTACTAGTAGCCCTGGAGGCATCAGCCTTGATGCGAGTCTGGCCCATCCTGTATTGTGATGGTTACATTGCTTGATATACAGAGAAAGTAAGACCAAATACGGACGATCAAACAGAAACGCTGAAACGGCTTCGTGGCCTAGTGGTTAGGGCATCCCGCTTGTAGATCTACCCATGGGGTGGTGCTATAACGGGGGGATCACGCGTTCGATCCGCGTCGGAGCCTTCTTTTTTTTCTTCGCGCGCCAATTTTGACCTTGCTGAAGATATCCAGGGCTCTGGCTTATATACTAATGATTTAATCATGTACACAAACTTGGAAGACCTGAACCACATCGAGATTCAGTTCCTCACGTCAGCGAGACTCCCGGACCCGGCCCCCTTACTCGGATGATTTATAACTAGACAAAAGAAATCGGAAGGCGAAGGTAATATGAGATATTGGAAGATATTAAGAGATGGCCAGTTAGGAAGCCTGTAATGTCCTAACAGAAATAAGGTACGGTGGTTCTGGGTGCGCTGATCAAAGGCTTGCGAAGTAAGCTTGAACAAAATATTGAAATAAGAGTGAAAGAAGAAGGAATTGTGTTGGATGCCTTTTATACTTTATTTGTCTTCCACACGCTAACTGACCGTTGTTTGTTGATAATAGATCCCTTCTTCTACTCGTTAACAGATTCCAAGTGACATCTAGTGCCGCCAAAGGCCCTATGCATTATGGAGAGGTGGATTTTGATTTTTATATATCTGACTCCTTATGCCTCCGACTCTAAACTCGAAGTCGGATACGAAACTGAGACAGAGCCTGAGTTTGAGTTTGTGAGCGATACCGAGAATTTTACCGACTCCGAGGCTGAGGTCGAAGAAAAGGGTGCAGATGGAGACGTTCCTATGGAAGAAGCAACTCGCAGCTCATCGCAGCTGATCTTATTGTACGTGGAGAACTTCCAGGATGCCGATATGAATGTTGATGCCGACGGGAAAGCAGCTAGGAAACTTCCCACTGTCACCCCTCCGCGAGTAATCCAAGCTCCCTACAATATCCCACCCCTTTACCCGTTTATCAGGACAAATGTCTTCTTTCTTATGGACCCGCACTCCGAAAAAATCCCTAAGTCCCTGAAGTTCAGCGCTACTTCCAACGACGGCGTATTCATATCGCGTATAATGAAGTTAGCGATGAACATCAGCAGCGTATTGGTCTTGATCTTGGGCCTGACAACCAGAAGGATCTTGACGATGAGGAGTTCAAGGAGAAGATCCGTTCAAGAATTCTGCAACCTTGCCGGCGGACGAGTGACAACGTCTTGATATCGGGCATTACAACCAGAAAGGTCTTGATAAGGAGAAATTTAGGGAAAACATCCGTTTGAAGATTGTGCGACCTTTGCCATCAGATAAGCTAACAAGCTGGGGCTGGAAGAGAAAATAGGCGACTATCTGGACATAAGGGACGTTGTTGTGCCAAACGGTCATATAGTCATTACAGTCAATCAATGAACCAATAAATCAGACCTTTAAAGGATTGAGCCAGAACAGACAGAGTCACTTAGTTAAATCCAAGGGACGGAATGTATCTGAGGAGACTTCGACAACCTGTTCTTGGAAAGGCAAATTTGTAAGGATATTTCCGCCCAAATCGTGTGATTGGGTCCCTTCGCGTAACTTATCTTGGGTGTATGTATCTACTAGACTTTCAAGTAGTGATGCGTGAGAATTCGCCAGTCGTCAGTATAAAAGGTTCTTAGCCAGTCATTAAGTATTAATACAACAAGTATCAAGCGATGACCGATACAGGTTCTAACCCTCTAGGGATAATAATGCTTATGCAGAGCCATACGAGGGTTGGTCCAGCGGAGGGGTCGACTGAGTCACTTAGTGCAACAATCAATGTCAGATCCACCACGTTGGTCGGCGGCATGGACATGGTTTCTCAGTCAATCGCTTTAGGAAAGAAACCTCCCATCATCGTTGCCACGCCTGGCAGACTTCTCGACCACCTCGAGAACACAAAGGGCTTGTCCCTCCGCAACTTAAAATTCCTCGTCATGGACGAAGCAGACAGACTCCTCGATCGTCATGGACGTAGGCGCTGAAGTTGCTCTATAAAGTCTCCTTCGATATAGTTGAAGAGAGCTTGGAGTGTGTTCAGGACCCGAGTGGTCCCTCCCTTAGCGTTAAGGAGACCCCTCAGCTTGAGCTATCGGCCCTAAATCATCTAGTATAACACGAGTGTTAGATCATCAAGTCGTCAGGACCAGCGGGGAGAAGGTGCATACATACCACGTTGAGTGATTCCAGCTCTGGTTCTTCGATTGCGTAAGCAATAAAGAATTTGAAAGTTATTCCGACCATAGTGCACGCCACCATCGGAGGAAGTGGAGTGTTAGTAGTGCGCTTCATACGCAGCCATTGAAAGTCGCTACACACCATATTCCGATTTGGCCTTCGGCATCAGCAGGAGACCCGTTATGGTCTTTGACCTCGAGCCCTATTCCAATAAATTCGCGACAAGAAGCGGCAAGTCTGAAAGGGTTGTTGCTATATCCGAGCGACTGCGATGTTGCTTGGTATAGAGCTCCGTACCGATCTCTTGGGAACACGACCGCAAAGTCGATCTTCCGTTCAAAATGACTCCCCATATTCTTCCCGTCTTGGTTGACCCAGACTGGGAGATATCTCTTATCTAAGGCATCGTAGATCCTAACCCATACTAGCCTAAGAGCATATAAACGATCTCAAGAGATGTGGTTTATTTTCCACTTCAATAACACCACGTGCCTCCATTTCGGTGGCTAGAGTCGCGTGGCATTCAGGATGCCTTTCATCGAGAGGGTAAATTTCAATTTTCACGAACGCAGTTCCATCTCCGATATCCCTGCCAATAGCGAAAACCGTAGGACAATAGTCGACGGAGATGGTTCGAGGTGATCTATATTCGTATCGGCTGACATAGTGCCGTGACTTGTACGTGACACTGGTTGAGCCTGATTGAACTGACTTGACCGAGCTAGGTGATTCCGGTTTGGGGGAGAAGGAAAAGGTCACGCTCGGCCGTTCTGCTATGGTTGGCTTCATGAATGACCTTTTGGGCCTAGGGGCTCCAGTTGTCGCGTATGGACACTACTCTTAAGAAGTTTTGCTCGAGTAGGTACTTGAAGTACGCAGGGGAAATTTCCCAACAACGATCCACATTTCATGTCCGTGTTGGCAGAATGGCAGAACATGAAGTAGCTAAGATATCAAGTCAGTAATATCCCAGATACATAGACCTTGATAAGTTCTTACCTTCTTTTTTGCGCTGATGTTGCTGGTGGCACTGCAGCATCCAGACCATCATCTCGATTCCTTTTTGCATCAACACCTTTTTTGTATGTTTTGCAAGAAGGACAGACGCTTTAACCTTGACGATGGCTTCCGGTTGGGCAGATACGTCTTCGTTTTCCAGCCGACCTTCGACCTCAGCCACAATTGATGCTCCGTTCATGCCTTGAGCGTTGCCGAGCTTTCGCTTCCAGAATCGCTCGGTTTCGAAATGTTGACCTCGTCAATCGGGAGGCCGGAGCGGGTATAGTGAGTACCCTTAACACGCCTTTCGCGCCATCGTACGTCTTACTATCTAGGTAGTAGTACTAAGATTAGTCAGACACATATAGAGTAGGTATAAATTCTAGGACTTACCGAGCAGACACAACCTCGTCAAAGATCTCGAATGTGGGATCAGGTGATGACATGGTCGGTGAGATGATGCTGGCTGAAATCTCGATGCTTTCGAGATCCGGGAGAGAAGAAAGCTCTGGCATTTCATTGCATTGAACTATCAGCTTTGCAGATGCGACTCGCACCGATGCTCCTGCCACGCTGCATATTAGATTGTTGCGAGCTTTCGTATAAGGCCTCTAGGTTGGTGAGCTCTGGACTTACCGGTACCATCGTAAGAGAAGCACTGACGATTTCATTATTGCCCGAGTACCGGCTTGAAGCGATGCGGTCTCGATGGCCTTATAACCATACCGGCTGAGCTTGGATCATCCTCCGACACCTACGGTCGATGTACATGTACCTAATGGCCTTCAAGCTCTTCCACGGGGCCACACCGCAGCATGATTGGAAGGACCATGAAGTGGGATAAGCCACAGATGTCTCGTTGCCATTTGTGTCTTTCACTGAAATTCTGAATGCAAGGCGAGCCGGGGTCTTGTTCTCGGCTTGCTCTGACCCACACGTGAGAGTGCCTTTTTCCGACAGGCGCGAGCTCAGTTTTTAAACGCACTTTGTCTTCTGGTTCCTCTTGAAGCCTGAACAATATAGTGGAATTTCGAACGGGATCACTCGCCTTATTGTTGAGGACTTTGGGCTAGCCAGCTGGACATGTCTGCAGTAGCTTCGCTTGTGATTTGGCTGGTGACTGTCCCAGAGAGTAGGATCTAGGCTGTTATATCCGTCCGAAGTTGGTCTACCGTCTCCTTGAGGTTTCTTGTGACCTCCCTATCCCTTCGGCGCTGTGGGAATGTGAAGACGGCCACGTGGATTGAAAGCAGCAATGACGCAACCGCAGACTATGTCGATGAGTGTGGTTTTCTCGTTAAACGCAGACGCTTGGCTAGCTTCTGCTTTCCGTCCTGCCAGAGTTGACAACTCGGTCTTATAGTCACCGACGTTTAGATGATTTGAAGGACGGTTGGCGGGAGACCCATCAACTTGGATGACCTATACCAAGTCAGTGATGGGGTCTGCTGAGGTACTTTTTATCCTGAATACCGTACCAACTATACCTGCTGGGAATGGCAGATCTGCAAGATCTGAACAGTCATAAATAAGTGTGGATATGTGGGACACGACACAGAGATGAGGACAGTATGAGGAATGACCGCTGGGTTAAGAATTTTATAGCGGCAGCTAGTACTGAAGAGTACCAAGCCTAAAATGGGCTTGTTGTCTCAGTGAATTTCGGCAGGAGCGATGTGAAGAAGGGGGAAGTACCCCACAAGATGGAATAAAAGCCTGTGATAGGAGAGTGTGACAAACAAAGAAAGAAATATGTAAAACATTGGTATAGGTGTACCTAGGTAGGTATCTCTTTAGAGTAGTCTTAGTGGCCCAGACGATCTTACAAAATCCCCCCATGTAATGAGGCTCTCTTGGGGGTGCAGGGCCAAAAGCCGCAGACCCCGGTGCCGTTTGGGCTGTGGGCTGCCGGCCTTTCCCCAAAGACCGAGAGATGGA